ATAGGCTACAAAGAAACTGTGTTACTTACAGCTTTTGGTGGTGAGAATGTCCAGTGTAGTCTGCGCTGTTTGCTTGAATCAAATATTTCTTCTAAAAAGAAACGCACTTTTATAGAGGTTGATTACATTTACATAATATCCCATAGCCTACTATAAGCACACACTGCTGTGAATCCTCAGAGTCTTACCTCTGATTGGTGTTAGCTGTGCGGAGACAATCCATGAAATGAATAATAAAAAATAAAGCATATTGAAAAAAGCTTCCTTTATTCCGACGAAGATAAAAGTTTTCACTATTACTTACGAATACAGTTTAAACTTCAGTAGTCCTTAGCGATAGTTTCGGTTCTTTTTAAAGATTTGCAAAGCGTTCGTAATCACTCGACGTGAAGAACCCTTATAATATTACTAATAATGTTTTATATTTCTTTCTTTGATTGTAGTCCAGCGCCCAGTGGAATATCCAACTCGAGGCCTTTTTCGTGAACAAATCCCTGCTTTGTATGAACTTTAAAATGTTTATTTCAGGTATTCAGTCAGTGACTGCCAGAAAGAAAAAAAACACACACACTTTAATGACCCAGTTTGTGTTCCATTACACTGTGAGGTAGCTGATTAGGCAGTGCTTCTTTTGTACAAATGTTGTGCAAGACTGTGGTATATATGGAATTTTTGAGAAATGGTTATGTGCTGATGTTTCCATTTAATAGGGAAGTGAGCCATACAACCATCAATAAACAATCTAATATCTAACAATTCGCCTTTATTATTTGATAAAAATGTTTTACAGCAATTTACAAAAATTAGGCTAAGTTTCTATATAAACACTTCTTTTAATAAAACAAACAAACAAAACACCCTTCAATACACTCCCTACAACTCCCTTGTTGTTGGAAGAGAAATGATTATGCTTTAATATGTGTGTGTGTGTGTGTGTGTGTGCGCATCTGTATTTATGCTTGCTTAACACAAGATGCCACAGTGAATCATTGAAGTCCAGTGACGTTAGGACCCTTTGCACATACTGATGATCACCACATATTTCCTTTAAAACAAAACTGCACAATACTTGTAAACACACTATGGTACTTGTTTCTGTTGAACAACCACCAGGCTGGATGCAGTACAGAATTTTAAAACAATTTTATTTCCCAAAGACCTGTCAGCTGTAGGTGTGTTAGCTGACATCAGGACTTTTCAAAAACAATTCACTGTCAAATAATGACATTTCAAACAGTGTAAACAGGGCCAGAGATAATATCAAAGAGCTGAGTCTCTAAACAACCAGTCACTCGAAAAATCTATAACACACACTTTTAAAGGAGAAATTCTTCTGAATTGCAGAGGGTGCATTTGCTTTTGCATTCTGTACCATACATGGATGAAAAATGATGTTATATAAATACACTCCCTATTTTTTTTTTCTTTCAAATATTTGAAAACAAAATGCTAACACTCAAAGTTCATGCACATACTCTTTTTTTTTTGTTGACATTTTGTATTTTCTATATCCTGTGATATTAGGTTCTTCAAACAGAACAGACAACCATTGTAACAGTATTTGGAGAGGCATCATTAAGATCATATTGTTCAAATGATATCCATAACTAATAGGGTGACTTAATGGAGAAATTGTGTGCAAAATGTTTATTTTCTCCCATGCTTTTGTGCTGTTTTGTCTGTTTGTTGGGTTAGTTAAATGTATGACTTGCATAACAGAAGGTAACACAGCAGTGTCTTTTAAAACGGCCTGATCCTTCTTTCATACTTGTACTGTACTATTTTACATAGCTTTGAGACACCTTAAAATCACTGCAGCAACCGACTTATACAAACAAGTTAAATAAGGTAATAACACTGCAAAGGTCACATGTATATTATTTTTACTGAAAATGTAAAACAAGAACTGCTGTCAGAAGACTATTGACCATTACTGTCTATTTCACGTTTTCAGACAAATATTCTGAGACTAAAAATGTCTCTAAAAGAAAACGACTTTTAATCCACCCTGAAATGAGCATTCATGCTGCTCAAACTTTTCAACATGAGGACTGAGAATTCATCTAGTCACAATCTCCTTATCATTTAATGTGATATGGTCCACACACACCTCACTAGTCCATCAGCACAGTGTTTAACGGGGGACAGTCCTGTATAAAAGCAGGTGCACAGGATCCCTCACTGTAACACACACTTCTCTTTCTGACTTCCATATTTCCTGCGCCTCATTTCTAGTCCTCTCTCCAACCTCTCGTCCTCTTCAAGAGCCCTTGAGAATGAGACGACAGAGAAAAAGTAAGAAAAAAGTAAAAAATACAGTAAAAACTAATATTGTGAAATATTATGATTTAAAATCACAAATTTCTATTTTAATGTATTTTAAAATGTAATTTATTCCATTGATGGCAACGGAATGAATTACATTGACTTCAGTCTTTGCTACACAAGAAACATTTCAATTCTGGTCTAAAAAAGTATTGAGTATATTTTGTAATGTGAATGAATCTCACCCTCTCTCTTTGGCGTCTATATCTTGCACAAGCTCATCTCTCTGGTTGACTAAAGACACCAGCTCCTGCAACAACAGCTGCTCTCTGGTTTTATGGGCCTGGGTTTTCTTCCATTCTTCAGTTTTACAAAACAAGCAAGACAAAAAATTGAGGATAATGAGAGATGCCACATGCCACAACTGAGAAAACTACTTGAGTGCCAAAATGTCTTTAATATGTAAAAACACATTCTTTCATTCTTAGCTATATAGTTCTCCATGTCACATACAGTATATTTATGTAAGAACAGTTGTACCTTCCACAGCCATTAAATCTTGTAGCTCTATCTTTAGCAGCTCAAATTTCCTCTCCAAATCTTGCTCTTCTTGTCTGTCACACAAAAGGAATGATAATTATTAGCAATGCATATTAAATCAGCCTCTGTTCAAATGAAGCTTTAGAGAGGTCATCATCAAAATAAGTACAGTGAAACAAAATTGGAATAAGTGTGAAAAGACATACAGTAACTGCAAATGGTCTTGTCTCCTGATCAAAGCGTTCTTCTTGTTGACCAGGGTAAACCACTCCTGAATCAGTGTCTCTTCTTCTACACGATCACTACCTTCAAGTGTATGATAAGAGCACAACTTCATCAAGCCACACTAATCAAATGTTTTGTCACTTGCTCAGCACAATGCACCATAATCTATCATAATCTAAAGTTAGTTAATACTGTTAATAATAATCTGGAGGTGTGTGCAAATTATTCATTTATACGTATATATATATATATATATAAACTACTTTAATCAATATATATATATATATATATATATACTACTTTAATCAGTGATTTACCAGATTCCATAAGTCTTCTTAGTTTCCTCTCCACAATGTCTGCTCTGCGATCTATCTGCTTCTGTTCAGCCTCCAGAGCCTGCATCTCACTAAGTACATATTGACTGACATCCTGCAAATACACAAACAAATCATAAACACACATGCAAATACTCACACCCGTGTATACGCATTTTACAACCCTATAAAATATTGGTTTGGAGTTAGTTTACTATACAATACTATTACATATAAGCCAATCTATAAAATACTTTTTATATTTAGCCAATATTTCAAATGACTAAGTTGAATGAAAATCATCAAATGACCTGATTCTCTCCTGCAGTGGCTTCTTCAACATTCTCTACGTTTTCTACACAAACAAAACAGAAGAACAATACAACTTAATCAAATTGTTTAAATGCATGCAATAGGTCATTTAATTTACGTTACAATAGTATACAACCAAAAAACTTTCATAATTTCTTACATTTTGCAGAAAATATGTTAAGCACAAGTTATGGATTTAACATGTCAGTGTCTTTGAACATAAAGTTTTTGAAAAGTATGTTTTGAGTTAAATCTTACGCGACTCTGAACCTCCTTTGGCTGCTTCACTTTCTGCTTGGACTGATGCAGCCTGGGTACAAAAACATAATGCGCAGCAGCTCAGTATTACACTGTTTATAAAGATAACTCAATTATAAGAACATTTGAAAATAATTACCCTCACAAGGAGACAAAAATACAGTGCTATACAACCCAGTTCCAAAAACGATATCTTTCTCATGAAACAACTTGAATCACATGTTCAAAAACTTGAATTAAACAGAGCGCACACTGTAAACAAGAGCCATCACAAAACATCTATACAGTCACACATGATGAGTCCTGTATAATGATCCTGAATACTGTATATGTTTGGTTAAAATGAATTTCATGAAAAATGCATGAAACTTTACTAGCTTTTAGCTTTTACGCATGATAGTTATTATCAACAAATTATCAACGAGTTTCAAACTCGTCTTCAAGCTCTGACTATACTATTAAATTTAAGACTAATAACTAGTGCTGTCAAACGATTAATCGTGATTAATCGTGATTAATCGCATCCAAAATAAAGGTTTTTGTGAGTCTTCTACTAAATACTGAGCAAATGGTCTGAATACTTAGGACCATGTGATTATTTCAGTTTTTCTTTTTTAATAAATCTGCAAAAATGTCAACAATTCTGTGTTTTTCTGTCAATATGGGGTGCTGTGTGTACATTAATGAGGAAAAAAAATTAACTTAAATGATTTTAGCAAATGGCTGCAATATAACAAAGAGTGAAAAATTTAAGGGGGTCTGAATACTTTCCGTACCCACTGTATATACATAATAAATATACACAGTACACACACATATATTATGTAAATAAAAACTTTTATTTTGGATGAGATTAATCGCGATTAATCGTTTGACAGCACCACTAATAACATATAAATATAACATTACTGGTCAAAAGAATAATTTGAATAATTAATATTTTTGATGTTTTTGAAAGAAGTCTCTTTCAAAAACACTAAGTTTTGCTCACCAAGGCTACATTTAATAATTAAAAAATACAGTAAAACACTAATATTATGATTTATTATTACAATAAAAAACAATTGTTTTCTATTTTAAACTGTAACTTGGTTTTGAAGGATCCTGTGGCTCAGTGGTAGACCATTGCGTTAGGAGCGCAAAAGGTCGTGGGTTTGATTCCCAGGGAACACACATACTGTTAAAAAATGTACAGCCTGAATGCATTGTAAGTCGCTTTGGATAAAAGCGTCTGCTAAATGCATAAATTATTAAATTAAATTATTATTATTAAGACTGGAGTAATGGCTGCTGAAAATTCAGCTTTGCCATCGCAGGAAGAAATTATATATTAAAATACAGTATGTTCAAATAAATTCAGCCTTGGTGAGCATAAGAGACTTTTTTCAATTTCTTTTTTAATAATTCCAAACATCTGACCGGTAAAGTATAGTTGAAATGTTTCACCTCTGTACCGCTCTGCTGTTCGTGTGGTTCAGGCTCATCCAGTGACTCTCCCCGCAGCTTCGATCTGCGCTTTTTAACAAGATCTGCATCCTTGAGATGAGAAAAAGCCTTTGAGGTGTGAGTTCTTGGTGGTGCCACCGGAGGCTGAGTGGACCCTGATCCTCCAGCCTGGCTCGGGCCCTGCGTTCGCTTCGTTCTTGGAGGTGGCACCAAAACACCTGCACCTTCCTTGACCTCCTTTTCAGGGAAGCATCCATTGGTCTCTAGAGTAATGCCGCTGCCCTGGAGCCTTTCTGCGCAGTAGCGAACAGCGGCTTCAGGATCGGCTTCCTCCCTCTTCTCTCCAACAGCGTAACTGGACTCGCTGCTGTTCTTCTCGATCTGTATTACACTGAGCTCCTGGCCCGTGAAATAGGTGCGGATCTGGTTGAGATACGTCATCACGATGAGCCTGTCGGGCACTGCCAGCAGCACCATGTCAGAGGGCTCTATCAACCTAGAGATGCCCAGTTCAGCAAAGCCATCAAACGCCTATGAATACAGGAAAGGAAATCTTCATTTTTGCCATTTGCTGATCACAGAATTATAATCATTAAGGTAAGTGCACAGCAAAAATGGCCTTGTAATTTGTTTTGTACAGTAAAATTTGAACATACAGTTTAGACTTAAAATATAACAACATTAAATAGGGTCAGTCAATTAGATCACAGTCAAAGAGAATTAAAAAAAGAAAAAAGTCATTATCTAATTTGAAAATGGGTGGATCACCTTCTTGTTGTTGCGCTTAATGTCATATGGATCCAGCATTTCATAATTTCTAAAGACAGAATAACAAACAAATAGACAAAATACTGAGTAGAACTGGGTTGATAAAAAATACATAACCCACGTAACATTTATGAAATGAGCTTAATGGCTTATTCCACATAAAAAACACCCACACTTTATCTGGATGGAAGTGATGCAGGATGGCACAGAAAGCGAGGCCGTTTCTCCATGAGGTGCTGAAGTTTGTGATCCGGACGCCCTTGTAACCTTGTGTGACCTTTTGGCACCATTCCAGCAGAGACTGACTTGAATTCACCAAGGTCGCAATCTAGAATCGAAGGCAAAAACAAATTAACCACCTGCTCATTGATGTCACTATGGTAATATGATCAACGTAATTAAAAAGCAGCAGATTTAACAACCTCTGTTTCACTGGTTGGCGATGTGTGAGCTGTGGAACTTCCCTTAAGGTCTATGGCATCTGCTGCAGCTCTCCGTTTATTACGAACAGGCACTGTCGGCTCATTATTGGCCTTTTCTGAAACCTCATGTTGATTGGCTGACGAGGAACTGGGAATGGAGACGTCTTCTGGGAAAGAGGCACTTAAACGTTTCTTCACGCGAGGCATTGGCACAGGAAGACTGGAGGAGTCTTCAGCTAATTCTTGTCTGGATTAAAGAAAGAAAAAAAATGTTAAACAAAACTGATTTCTACATTTAAATAAACTAGTATTGCAAAATCTATTTAACTCATGTAGATATATCTCTGAAGCCTAAAAGAAATTTAGATTTAGTTTTGCGTAAACAACGTATGCATAACAACAAAATTAAACAAGCACCAACAACAGCATCAAACAATCATTTATTTATTTTTATTTACATTATGCACATTTTTCATAAAGACAAACAGTTTAACTTAAAGGTCAAACCCATAATGAGTAAATTATTCTTAAACGCATTGTTTTTGAAAACCCAACATCAAAGGAACACCAGTGTTGGATGAAAAGACAGTTAGAGCACCAGTTAGAGAGCAATTACTGCACTTTTGTCAAAAATTGGCATTTGTACTGTCTACAAATGTTGCAACAGTTTATCCTATGAGACTTACCTAAATACATCTATGATAACACCTGTGGCATCTACAGTGTCCATGCTCAAATCAACCTCATCATCTCCAGAATGTACAGCATCCTTTTCTTCCTCAACACTTTTATCTTTTTCAATTTGTTGGTCTGTATCCCCTTTGTCCTTACAATGTTCACCAAGTGGAGCACCAGTCTTAGGTTTTTCACTGATAACTGTTACATCAGGTACTAACTGGCCAACAGGTTCTAAACCAGACTCCTCCAGGCCTTTTCTGTTTAGCTCTACTTCATTGGCACTTGAGGTGGTGGAATCTTCAAGGCTCTCAATCTCTGCTTCTGCCCTCACCTGCGTGTCCACTTCAACAGAACATTGTTTGTTTTCTGAGAGATGAAGCTTGCCTTCTTCTTCTTGAGGAAAGCTTGGAAGGTTCTCATCAGAGAACTTATCACTGAGTTTCTCTGAGTGGGGAATTGGGATGGGTATGCTTGCATCACTTGGTACTCCTTCAAGGACTATGTTAAGTAAATCTACAGCAGGTGGACAACTCGAGGGAACAGTGAGATCATCTGGAAATGAGCCACTTAGACGTTTCTTCACACGTGGCATTGGCATTGGAAGACTTGAATCTTGATGGTCTTCTGTTTGGGGAGCAATGCTATCTGAACCTGCTTGAGATGAAAGGGAGGATGAAGGGGCTGGAAGATCATCTGGAAAAGAACCACTGAGACGTTTCTTCACACGTAGGACCGGGACTGGAAGACTTGAATCTGGATGGTCTTCTGTTTGGGGAGCAATGGTATCTGAACCTGCTTGCGTTTGAAGGGAGGATGAAGGGGCTGGAAGATCATCTGGAAAAGAACCACTGAGACGTTTCTTCACACGTGGCACTGGGACTGGAAGACTTGAATCTGGATGGTCTTCTGTTTGGGGAGCAATGCTATCTGAGCCTGCTTGCGATGGAAGGGAGGATGAAAGGGCTGGAAGATCATCTGGAAAAGAACCACTGAGACGTTTCTTCACACGTGGCACAGGGACTGGAATACTTGAATCTTGATGGTCTTCTGTTTGGAGAAAAACGTTGTCTGAATCTGCTTGAGAGGAAGGGCTGGATGAAGGGGCTGGAAGATCATCTGGAAAAGAACCACTGAGACGTTTCTTCACACGTGGCACAGGGACTGGAATACTTGAATCTTGATGGTCTTCTGTTTGGAGAACAATGTTGTCTGAACCTGCTTGAGATGGAGGGGTTGATGAAGGGGCTGGAAGAAAATCTGGAAAAGAACCACTGAGACGTTTCTTCACACGTGGCACAGGGACTGGAATACTTGAATCTTGATGGTCTTCTGTTTGGAGAAAAACGTTGTCTGAATCTGCTTGAGAGGAAGGGCTGGATGAAGGGGCTGGAAGATCATCTGGAAAAGAACCACTGAGACGTTTCTTCACACGTGGCACTGGGACTGGAAGACTTGAATCTGGATGGTCTTCTGTTTGGGGAGCAATGCTATCTGAGCCTGCTTGCGATGGAAGGGAGGATGAAAGGGCTGGAAGATCATCTGGAAAAGAACCACTGAGACGTTTCTTCACACGTGGCACTGGGACTGGAAGACTTGAATCTGGATGGTCTTCTGTTTGGGGAGCAATGCTATCTGAACCTGCTTGCAATGGAAGGGAGGGTGAAGGGGCTGGAAGATCATCTGGAAAAGAACCACTGAGACGCTTCTTTACTCGTGGGACTGGAAGTGGCAGATTTGAATCTGGATGGTCTTCTCTATTGTGAACAATGTTGTATGAATCTGCTTGAGATGAAGGGGTTGATGAAGGGACTGGAAGATCATCTGGGAAAGAACCACTGAGACGTTTCTTCACACGTGGCACTGGTACTGGAAGACTTGAATCTCGATGGTCTTCTGTTTGGAGAACAATATTACCTTGATCTGTTTCAGATAAAGGGGTGGATGAAGGAGCTGGAAGATCATCTGGAAAAGAACCACTGAGACGTTTCTTCACACGTAGCACTGGGACTGGAAGACTTGAATCTTGATGGTCTACTGTATTGAGAAAAATGTTGTCTGAATCTGCTTGAGATGAAGGGGTGGATGAAGGGGCTGGGCGATCATCTGTATAAGAACCACTGAGACGTTTTTTTGAACGTGGCACTGGGACCGGAAGACTTGAATCTTGATGGTCTTCTCTTTGGAGAACAATGTTACCTGGATCTGCTTCAGATAAAGGGGTGGATGAAGGAGAAGGAAGATCATCTGCAAAAGATCCATTGAGACGTTTCTTTACACGTGGCACTGGGACTGGAAGATCAGTGCATTTGATTCGCATTTTTACTTCCGACACCTCAGGAACATTCAAATCCAGTTGTACCTGGTCTTTCATGCTCAATTCATCACCAGCATGGGTCTTTCTTTTGTCTTCAGACTGGGACATACTAGTGATGACAGAAGACAATGTACTCTTTTCTTCAAACTCTCCACCAGCTTCATCAACATTGCTGGTTTGAGCTTTATTCTTACGCCTCTGAGGAGCACGTAATTGTGTGACTGTGTCTTCCGCAGGCACTAGGGGAACATTTTCTTCGCTGTTGCTATGACATGATGTTATAATTTCTTTGGGTGTGGGCTTCTCTTTGGGTTCTGGTGAAGAAATCTCAATTTTGGATACTTTTACTACATTTTCAGCTGCTTCTATCACAAAGGTCCCATCAGGAAAAGAAGTGCTTGTCAGTGGGACAGGTACATCTGTCAAGCGATCCGTTTCTAAAGATGTACCCTCATCTACCAGAGCGGAAGATCTCTGGATGGTTGTGAGTGGGGTATCTGGCTGTACAATTTGTGATGTACTCTGAGAATAATGATCAGTTTGTTTTATGACACAGATGTTGTCACTCTGAGCAGTTGGCTCAGCTGGGTTGGAAACTGGTGATGATGACGGAAATGTCTCTTGAAGAATGTCTTGCTTCTTAGTCCTTCTTGGTGGCACAGGTTCTTTTGAAGCTGAAACAGTCTGTTCTGTGATAGTCCTTGGGTTATGAGAATTTATTGAAGACAGTAAGGACATAGGTGTTTTTTCTTCATCCAGCAATTCGTCCTTAGTCCGTTGGATGAAAAGAGAGACTTCTTGGACAAAATTATGTTGTGGCCTTAAGAACAAAAATACAGTATCACTACTTTATTTTCTGTTGAGATAATGAATGCACTGACTGTACCACGACACACTTATAAATCACAAACAAACATCCTGTTTAGCAAGCAGTTGTACCACTGCATGAAATGCTGTCTTCAGAAATTGCACATACCTTTGCATCATGCAACGAGTAAATAAAAGTCACAACAACGGTGGATTTGGTAATAAAAGCACAGAAGATCACAGTTTACAATCTTAGCTGAACAAATAAACGTCTTTCAAGGTGAAGTGCGTAATTTCTTTGTTTTAAAACAATTTCTCTTCCCGGTTTCATTTGCAGATACACGAGTTTTCAAAATCGTTTTAGCCTGCTTAAACATTTCAATGGCCTGATTTGTGGCAGGACAAACCATCTGGCCAAACAATGGAAGAAGGGGCTAAAATGAAAGGGCAGTAGGTGTGTTGCATATCTGGACACAATCAATATTTGCAATTCCATTTGGTGCCACTAGGGGCACTGAAATTACACACTGCACCTTAGGGCAAAAAGCAAAATTAGACACATGGACATAATATTTAGAGAAAAAAAAACAACAACAACCAAAAAACCAACATAAAAGCCATTTCAGTGCAAATTTGTGTGCAGATGTGAGTTGGAAAACACTAAAAGAAAAACGAATATAGCCGTGCTGCTGTTTACAGGACTTGCAGGTTGGGTTTGAATGCAACACTCCTGATTAACTCACCCCTCCTCTGGAAATAGTGTGGTTGACAACTCATCCTTCAACATTTGACTTTTTGTCACAATCTCATCATTACCAGTTTCCTCTTGAACCGAAGATGTACACTCCTGTATCAATGAGTCAACATCTGCTTTGTCCTCCTCCTCTTTGTTTATCTCATGAAGGTCAGCCTCTGTTAAAGGGGGCCACTTCCTCATTAGGCAAAAGTCTTCATCTTCAACGAACCAGCTTTCAGTCTCTTTTGATGACAGTGATGTTTCTGAACAACCACCAACCAAACGCCACATGTAGGGTTCAGCAGAATCAAAGACCTCAGACTCCGCTGCCTGTACGAGTGCCTCCAATGAATGATCACATCCAGTGGCCATGCGAGTGGCGCTGTCCTCGAGATCCACAGAGGATGAAAGACTGTCGAGAGGATCTAAAGTGTCCGTGTCTGTGACTGATCCAGAGCTAGAGGGCTGCAATATTGCAGCAACTGTCTCATAACTAAAAGAAAGCAACACTTGAGATGTAAAAAGTACAAAAGAAAGTTTCCAGAAAAATAAACGTAAAAATATGATACTAATGAAAATGAATTACTTTAACAAAAGAACATATTGGAATATGGGTTTGAGTAGTTTTCATAATTTCTCAGGATATAATCTTACAAAACTAAAAAATGAAACAGGTCTACATAGATTCTAAGTGTTTTTCAAATAAAATCAAAGCAAACATGCTCAGTGATTTCACCCAGTTATGTTATTTAATCTTACCCTCTGTGAAAGACATCAACTATAGTCCTAACAAGACCAGAAGATCCTTCTTTTTCAGTGGAATTATTATCTGCCTCCAAAACTTCCCATCCTAACGCTATAGCAGTCTCTCCAGGCTCTGCAGTATCATGAGTTTTACTAGCAGACTGCTCCCCAACATGTTGCTCTTCCAGAAAAAACTTCACCTCATGGTTTTCAATACTGATAAAGAATAGTTCAATAGTCAGCATGGTCCATGATGCAATTCACATACACCATGCGTCTCTCTCATGTACATGCACCAAAGGTGTTTTTAGGCACAACATACAGTCAGGTGATAACAAAGTTAGTAAAGAAAAAGTCAGATATTAATCAGGTCAAAACAAATCATGTTGAGCCATGCTTTATTGAATTATTATGAATGACATATATATATAATTATTATGAATGACACAATGGGTGTTGTCTTTACATGAACAGGCTTGCATAAAGCTCCCATTAAGCCTCAACAATGTCAAGAAATAATATATAATACATGTAAAATAACTACAGTAAAATAAATGTGGCAAACAATGTCAAATGTCAAAACAATATATTGCACATGCAACAAAAGAACACAAATTTACTTCTAAAAGTGTTTTCACACACCACACACAAAAACATGCTATGTAACTCACCCTTCAGCCAAGGGCATTTCATAAGAACTTCCTATTTCTTTAGGATTTTCTTAAAAAAAAAAAGTTTTTTTTTTTTTTATAGATTTCTGAGAATACATATCGCTCAATGTTCAAGCCACACTCTAAAAATGGGTCTCTTACCAGGCCCTGTTATATCCAGTGTTTGATTTCTTTCAGATTCTATGTATTGGGTGAATTTGGCTTCAAATTTGGTGTGTTCTTGGGTTGTACTTGATGAAGATATTGCATACGTAGAAGCATCTGGGAAATCAGGAAGCCTTGCTTCATCTGGGAAATCAGGAAGCCTTGCTTCAACTGGGGAACATGGCACTTCAGGGATCAGGTGACTAAAATCTGTTTCATTGGTTGCAGAGAATGGAGCCTCTGGAGAAGCTGGGAAGACAGTTTTCACTGGACCCTCTTCTTTTTTAAGCCTTTCTGAGCATGGAAAACCATCATTTCTGGCCTTATCGGGGCACGTAGGGGCAAGCAAGAACATGGTTTTTGAATATTCTTCATTATCCTTTGTATAACTTAAAGACCAAAACGGTCTTTCTTTAAGAGGTTTAACCCATATGGGCTTCTGAGTGGACCATATGCTTTCTTGAGATTCTTCTATCGGCACAGATTTTACTGTAGGAACACCTACAATAAAAGAAAACATTGGGCAAGAATGCCAAAGACTGACTACATCTGGTTCTTTATGGAGATAGAAACCCTCCACTTTAACCTGAGGTAGAGAAGGGAAACCAGGTATGCATGCTTCTCTTGGGCAGGTGGGTACTAGTGCAAACATCCTCTGCAAAATGTTTTTGTCTATTTCTTTATACGGAGTTGCGAAATTAAACTGGACAAGCAGCTCTGACCTCGTTCTCAGTGGCCTCTCCAACAGGGGCCTTTCATTCTCAAACCATGTTCCTGCGTTTATTCCCTCACTTGATGAGAATCCCATGATTCTTGACTTCTTTGGAACGCACTGATGTAGATCAGCCATACTGGCGGGAAGTGTAGCTTTGCGCTTGTGTGCATATGGGAATCCTGGTATTCTTTCCTTTGATGGACAGGTTGGAGCCAATGCAAACATTATTTTAGTTAATTCACTAAGCCAATCAACTAGAACAGGTGGCTTTTTAAAAGATACATTGTACAATGTTTTCTTGTCAACAAACCAATCTAAATGCTCCTTTTTAGAAGAAAATCCTATAACATTAGACTTCTCTGGGCAAGTGGGAAGCATGTGCAGCATTATTGGCTCGGGCACAGATGGAAAACCTGGAACACAGACCACTGATGGACATGTAGGTGCCAAAGCAAACATTCTATGACCGTTTTCTTTGCATATCTTGTCCATGTCCAAAACAACAGGGGGTTTCTTTAATGGATTTGTACACAAAATAACTGTACTCAAAGGCCAATTGGACATCTTAGGGGTCTGGATGCTCGGACAACCAGCTATATGCGAAATCTCTGGGCAAGAGGTACAAATGTTTTGCATGTTCGGCTCCATCTGTGATTTACGATGTGGTCTAGATGGAAAGCCTGGAATACATGATGCTTTTGGGCATGTTGGTGCCAGAGCTATAATCTGGGAGCCTTTTTCATCTTTAATGGGGCCAAAAATACCAGTCTGTTTATCTTTTAATAAATTGCAAAAGATTACAGCTTGATCACTAATGCACTCCATGCCTTCAAGGACCCTTAGAGAAGGACATCCAGGGATTCTAGAAAGCACCGGACAGGATGGAAGGAGCTCCAACATATTTGGCTCTGCTTGGGTTTCAGGGATAGAATCTAGCATTTGTGCAGCATTTTCAGACACAAAGGTTAATATCTCATTTGCAGGCTTTGAATCATCCCTCAGTTCTGATTTAGCAATTGTAGGCTCTTGAAGAATTAATTCTTCACATGATTGAATAAGTATTTCTTCACTCTTTGGGGCAGATGTGAAATCAAGTTTTGAAGATGGAACTGTATCCACCATCATTATAGTCATCTCTGAATACTCAACTGGGCTTTTGATGTGTAAAATTGGCTTTGCTTTAGGATGTTCTTCCAATAATGATGTTTCCATGCTCAGCCACTCCTCATGATGCTTTTCCTCTGAAATTGGGGTCTGTGAAGAAGTGTCAGCAACAACGAATGTTTCTGGAAAAGATATACATGGGGCCTCTGTGGGTCTCTTAGCAGATGGAAAGCCAGGAATTCTTGTTTCATTTGGACATGTGCATGTCATGGACACCATATTTGCCTCATAGGGGGATTTTTCCAAGTTTGGCATTAAAATATTTTTTGGTGAGTTACGTGGCTCATCCCAAATTATACTTAAATCAGTAGGCCAGTTGATTATGTCTGTTTTACATATGCTAGATAGTGCTGTTGATGGACATCCAAAAACTCTTGAGAACAGTGGACATGATGGAAGAAGATCTACCATGTTTGGGACACACTCTTGTTGCAGTCCTGTAGGCTGATCTTCAGCTGTTGAAGGTACCGTTCTATTATGATATTTTGTAGTCTCTTCTTGCTTAAAACCTTCAGCAAACTGTTCTGGTCTGTCTTGGGATGTCCATAATACACCTTGATCCACGTCATCGTTTTTAACCAGAGTGTCTCTGTAATATTCAGAAGGTGGAATCTGAGCACGTATGCTTTGACATCTGAGAAAAATAAGCATATAATCAGATGTCAGATGTGAGGTTGCAAGAAGATTTGACTGCATGCATCATTCTGTTTACTGGCAGCCATTTAACTGATTCAGTATACGTGATGCAGGCCTAAATTGTCTCTGTTACAACTCACAAGCTGTGCTTAGTTTTCACACCATTATGCATTTATGATGTTAAAGGCACTGGTGACCCAAATAACAATTCTGTCATCATTTACTTATCTTCATGTTGTTCTAAACTTGTATGGTCAAAAAACACTGAGGTATTTTTCAAAATATGTTAATTTGTGTCAACAGAAGAAAGAAATGCATATAGGTTTGGAACAACATAAAGGTGAGTGAATGATGACAGATTTTTCATTTTGGGTTGAACTATGCCTTTAAGAGAGCAGAGGATATAAATGTTATATACAGGTGGACAAAATCTGATGCAGTTGCGACAAGGCAAAGCAATAAATTCTCTATTTTATGTTTCCTTGCAAAACTCACCTCTCCTCAACTGTCAGTAATAGTGGCATGTCTGGTATGGCGTGCCACGTTCTGCAATGCATTTTCCTAGAAACAATTGTCAAAGTATTTCATGCACTATCCACTGCCTGCAGAAAGTGCAATACAAAATGTCTTCTTTTTGAAAAAAACAAATATCTTGAATAATTTTTGCCGATTTCTCCTTTTGAATGTACTCTTTCAGTATCTTCACAGACTCATCCCAAGGCCACTTTGTGTCTTGAAAGGTTATAGATGGCATCCCAGGTGCAAAAGCAGTTCTCGGACAGGCTGGAAGAAGATATATCATACTGGGAACAGATGGAGAGCTGTCAAAATTAGGCTCTTCTCTTTCCTGTTTCATCCAAGGTAGTCGGTCTACAAATAAGTCTCCTATTTGATTCTCAGCTATGTCATCAGCTAATATGGATGGTGACCAAGGAGAATGGGACTCTTTTGGGCAAGAGGGCAGCAAAGCGGCCATGCTTTTGGTGCTGAGGGACAGGGACATTAGAACAGAGATCAGAGGGAGGATGTCAAATGGATTTATAAATAATAATAAGAAAACAGACCGCGACACATACAGTATTTGCATTTTATATTAATATAGCATAAGCTTCAAACGTAACACAGTAACTATGCTGGCAAATTTGACAAGACTTCACACTTCACGTGCATCATTCCACTCTTACCCTTCATTAGTATGATCTGACTGGGACATTTCTGTATTTGAGAGCAGCTGCGGCACAGATTCTGGGCTGGCCTCTTGCGCTTGTATTTCTGCTAGTTGAACGCTACTTTGAAAGGGCTCTGTCTTGTCTTTATGAGGAATCGTCTCATCTTCTGTCTGTTCATGTGCAGCTGAGTGTATAACAGCCAGCTCAGCAGAGCTCTGTGACTTCTCTGACTGATTGATCTGGACCTCAGTTAATGGGCCGGTGAATGTAGGGACCGCAGCAGGTTCTGCAACATTTTCGAGGGCTGCGTGGGGGTGTACTCTATCTGTATCAGACTGCTCTGATTTTGGCAGCTCAAAATATGTGACATCAGTGATAGAAGGTGACTTTTGGTCACTGGGCAGCAGAGAGGTCATACTCTCTGGTCTAGGAAGAAAACACATCAGAACTGGTGAAGTGTTCTGGGAAGACAGCAAGAACGAAAAAAATCTAAATTATACTGCATTGCATCACCTTGAAACAATGTGAATTACCTTTCTCGGAAATGAATGAAGTGTTAATGAAAAACCATGCTGTAACGCAAAGTAATTTTTAAACAATTTTTTCATGATCCTGGCATCTGTATGAACATAACATGCTCATATATTTTTTCCCTTCATTCATTACAATGTGCCAACTTGTGTTTTAAGATACAAACTAATACAAAAAAGCAAATTAAGTGACTTTAACCCTGAATTTAAACCAAAGCCTCACAATTTCAGTAACCATTTCTAAAATTTAAAATTCAAAACCCTTTTGTTGCTTTTGTGACCTTGCGGTCAGTTGCCTAATTTGATTAAATTTATATCATAACATTATTAACTTTTGGTTTTAGAGCAGGGTTAAAGTCCTCACAATTGTAAGTGATTATCAGCATTTACGAAAAACATTTATAAACACACCAAACAACATTCAGGTTGATTCAACATAATATAATACAATACAAACACAAAAATCAAATTAAATTAAATACAATTAAATAATAAAAAAAACAAATTAAATAAAATAATAAAATAAAATACATTAGGCTGTTATTGTTTCATCAAAGATTTCCCAAAAATGTCACTCAAAGTATTAAATGCAACACTCAAGTATACCAGATATTGAAATCAAATTGTCAGTGCTTTGCTGGTGTCAACCAACACTTATTCACTCCAATGCACTTGTTATTGAAATCAACCAATCAAAAAAACTCAGTTTTCTACATATGACTCACCCTTTTGCAGGCCGCACAACCTCAAGTCCAAAAACAGGCCGTTGCTTGTCCATACTGCTGTTTGGTTTTTGGTTGGCTATACTGATGACTCCGGCTCTGCGAGGGTGAGGTTCATGGTTTTGATGAACATCTGTGGGCTTAGCGTCTGCATCCTCATCAGCTGTAGAAATATGCCCAGACATCACACAAGAATTACTAATATGTCAAAGAAAACACTCAAATTTATATACAGCAGTACAATGAGAGGTTAGCTGTTAAAGTAGCTGTAGTGTATACTCACTAGAAGACACTGTATTGGGACATTCCTCCTCTGCTAATACACTTAACTGTCTGTGTTGCTCTGAAACAGAAATGTAAAATATGTCATAATAAAATAATATAGTATATCTATAACAAAATATTAAGCACTAAAGCAGCATTCCAGCATTCTACTGAGGCATTATTAAAAATCTTATCCATCTGTTGCAGTTAACTCAGAACACAATATGGAATAGAGGAGTTTCAAGTCTCATACATGTTTGTTAAGGTACATATCTGCTTTTAAGATCAGTACTTAATAAAATTAATGCAAATCATACAAGCAACATGTATGTAACAACAACAAGCAACTTATCAATCTATCATCCATTATGATAGATATAAGTCTGTTATATGCTATATCTAACATTATACACTAGAGTTGTTTTTAGAAAAATTAATACTTGCATTTAGCAAAAATACATGAATTTGATCAAAAGGCACTAAATACATTAGCATTTTTATAAACCATTTCAATTTCAAATAAGCACTGTTCTTTTAAACTTTCTATTCATCAAAAAATCTTTAAAAATGTATCACTGTTTCCACAAAAATATTAAGCAGCACAACTGTTTTCAGAATTCCTAATGATAAGAAATGTTTACTGAGCAACAAACTAAATACATAAATAAATAACTTACCAACCTCATTTGTTTAAACAATAGTATATTTTATATTAACAGTTTGTTTTTGCCAAGTAGTTTCATTCATGTGTCCTCCAGGGGGCGTAACATCATGTAATATATGATTTACAAAATAATTTTCAAATAATGTGTTTTCTGACTGTTGTTGAAATCTCCAAATTCTGTTCTCTTTTACAAAAGCTTGTCTTGTTGAAACTTTTGTGTGTTTATGGAAAAAGTTACAATTAAAAAAAAATATTATTTAACATAATGCTGTCTTAAGACAATGTTTCAAAAACCAGTGAGTCAGAAATACTGAACAGTTTTATAGTTATGATGGATCAGTCCACTGGGAAGAATGGAATGTTTGGCCTTCCGACACTGTACTGTTATGCAAGAAATGTTGGAGTGTAATCTAAAACAGATCTCACTAGCTCAAAACATTTAAAATCAGTTCGCTGTTATCTACTCAATGTACAGCACACATATTCACAGCAAACAAACACAGAACGAGAATGAAGCACAGATAAAGGTTCAGGCCAGCATATGTACCTGTGAGTGTGTCAGTGGATGGGACTGAAATGGAGGCGATAACAGGGGCTACAGTGGACGTTTGGGCATAAACGTGGGGGTCAGGGATCGTGGATGAGGGTGAAGGAAGAATGAAAGGAGAGGAAGAGAAAGGAGAGGAAGGGGCATTAACAGGAAGAGGGGCTACTGGTCTGCGCACATTAGGTCTAACCACTGTGGGCACAATCTGATGCCTCCATTCGGATGTCTGGACCTCTGGGAGAGGCTCTGAGGTTGACATTAACCAGATGAGAATGGAAGATGACAGAAAAAGGAGAGAATGATGAGGATGAGGAGATGAGTGCAGAGAGGAAACAATTTAAAGGGTTTAGGTTCACCCAAAAATGACAATTCTTTTACTTTTATTCAGGTTCATATGGAAGTAAATTAATGACACGTGTCTTTAAAACAAAACCTACTGGTGAAGTTTGGCATCCAAACGGTATCTTTCCGGAGCCCGAAAAAAGGATGTTTTGACTGCTATATAAATAATATTTATTGCTGTAGTATTAGTACTTGTTTTATAAATGCAATGATGCCTATGATCACAGACAGACTTGTCATATGAGGGAAAATTTAGCCAAATTTAGTGTGTTACATTCAATAATTACAGACCCGGATCCAATGTCTAATGCAATAAAGTTTTTTTTGTTTTTTTGGTGATCATCAATCAGGCCTTATTTCTCGTCATTTATGAATATTATGCTCTGTTTATTTTATTTAGTTTTTATGTTTACTTCATTTATATTTTATTTATTTGTGTTTCATGTGTATCTATTTACTCAAGCTCACTTGCACTCCTATTTTTATATTTAAATATTTTTTACATGCTTGTTGAATGTGTTACAATTAATACACATTTACACTTAAATATTGATATAGTCATTTTATGTGCTTTCTCTTCACTCGTCAAATTTCTATAGTTTTTACACTAGTGGGGCCCATTTTCATTATCTTGCCTAGGGCCCCACAACCCTTCAGGCCGGCACTGCATATCTCTCTCCTGATTCAGACAAGATTCAGACTTTTTCACTGGAGAAAGCAATATTATGAATAGAGGACTCATATTTTAGCCAGAAACAACAAGTTAAAATCATCTTAATAATGGATTTGTTTCTTGCAAACAAACAGATTTTCGCTTAACAAGATGTTAATTGATGGACTGGAGTCATGTGGATTACTTGTGGATTATTGTGATGTTTTTATCAGCTGTTTGGAGTCTCATTCTAACGGCACCCAATCACTGCAGAGGATTCATTGGTGAGCAAGTGATGTAATGTTAAATTTCTCCAAATCTGTTCTGATGAAGAAACAATCTCATCTACATCATGGATGGCCTGAGGGTGAGTAAATATTCAACACATTTTCATTTCTGGGTCAACTATTCCTTTAAAATGCATTTAATTTAATGAAATTACATTTATTTAAATGGCGCTTTATACAATACAGATTGTTTCAAAGCAGCTTAATAATAATTGTAATGTAAAATTTCAGTGTTGCTTTAATTCTGTTCAATAACATGAGTTGATGTTGCAAAGTGACATTTATCATTATTTTACTTCCAAATGCTATTTTCAAAAGCCAGCAGTTTTGGAACATCACGAGGGTAAGTAAATGATAACAATTTTCATTTTTGGATGAATTATCCCTTTAAAAAATGAGGCATGGTTGATGAGGATTAGAAATTTCACAATATTCATGCTCCATTGAAAGGGCACCCAAAACCCTATAACAATGCATGATTTTTTAAATCTTGAACTCAACAGATGAAAACTAATCATTTCATCAGTTTAACACATGCAAACAGGTTTAGAATACAGTTATCCTAGAGTGTTTGCTCTCTATACCTGACTCGGCAACAACAGGTGCAGTGACCATAGGACCAACATCAGGAGTGGAACTTAGAGGAGCATCAGAAAGAGTGAGATGAGGAGATGACAAGAGAGTAGAAACACATGGATACGGGGTGGACTGAGAACTAGATGAAGCAGCAGGAGCAATGGAGGGAGAAACCAGTGATGCTGGAGCAGGAGAGAGGATGGCAGCTGACAGGGTTTGAGAGCAAGAAGTAGAGACTGACTCAACTCTGGGCATCTCAGAGGAAGGAGCCACACTGGGAGATGTTACAGCAGGACTGGGAGTAATGGTAGAGTCCATTGGTTGAGGAAGCACACTGGATGAAGACGTTGCAGGAAGGGGGACATGCATTAGGGGAGAGGTTTGTGCAGGAGGAGAGGAGGTCACTGAGGCTGGATGACACTCTTGGTTAATGTGTTCTGGAGAAGTAAGAGGAGCAGGACACAGAGTAGGGTGCAGCTTGGGAGGCCTCCACTCTTTGTGCCAAGATGCTGGAGTTTACCATAGTAAATAATAACAGAGTGCATGTATGATAAAGTAGACAGTGTTTACAGGGGAAGAAAGAAGGAGAAAAAATAAAAATGTATGATTAGCATAGATTTGCAAATAAGTTTGAAAAAATGTAAAAAGAGAACAAGGGAAATTAATTAATTTATTTATATATTTTTTTTATCTTATGCCACAGCCATTTGCTACTTGCTATTGTTAATTAGAGGAAGATGGTATTTATAATTGATATTCTAGAGAGTCACCAATGTTTTGGTTAATCTTTCCATTACATACAAATTACGTATTTTATTCCAAAAGTTTGGGGTTAGAAAGATTCTTTTATTTAAGAAATTAATACCTTCATTCAGAAAGGTGAATAAATATTTATCAAACGTGACAGTAAAGACCTTTATAATGTTACAAAACATTTATATTTCAAATAAATCCTGTTCTTTTGAACTTTCTATTCATAAAAGTATCCTGAAAAAAGTATCTCGATGTCCACAAAAAATATTTAGCAGCACAATGGTTTTTAACACTGATATTAATGTTTCTTAAGCAGCAAATCAGCATATTAGAATGATTTCTGAAGGATCATGTGACACTGAAGACTGGAGTAATGATGCTGAAAATTCAGCATTGCTCCACAGGAACAAATTACATTTTAAAATATATTGAAATGGAAAACTACAATATTATTTCACAATATTACTGTTATTACTTTACTGTATTCAAATAAATGCAGCCTTGGTGATAATAGTAGACTTCTTTAAAAACAAACAAATCTTACCAACGCCAAACTTCTGAACAGTAATCTATCTGGTAAAACTTGGTCAACTTTTAGGAGCACACAAGTATATGAACAGACTTAAATCTAACAAACATGGACTAAAAGCTATAAAACTCTTTCATAAGGTCTTTCACAGTGACTTTATAGCTCTTTATGACCTCCAAATCATTTTCAGAAAGCTGGGTACTGAACATGAAATTTGTGGTTCAAATTAAACTTAAATTAAAATGGCATCTAATTTAAAAATGTGTTATATATGAACATCTGCCCCATGTACCTGTCTCAGTGGCAGAGGGCATGCTTGTAGGCTTTGTAAGGGCGGAGCCTGGATCAGCCAATGAGGCGCGATAGATTTTTGAGGGCCATGGTGAAGGTAAAGTCATTGTGCCTTGAGGGGATGAGCCAAACTCAAAGGAGGAGGGGTTGAAATCAGAAGGGGTGGAGTGTGAAGAGGGAAAACTCTGAGGTCTCCAGGTCTTGCTACGAGCAACAGAATGGGTGGCTAAGTCAAGGGAGAAACGATGAGATAGAAAAGAGAAAAATGAAGAAAAGACAGAATGGAAGCAAGGTGAAGCAGCAACAGGACAGGTAAAAATGAAAGATATGCAAATATCAAATAAGCAAAAATATATTACACAGTTAATGCAAGCTACAATACAACTATTTACAAGCTATATCTTTACTGACTTATTCATTACCTTTCTGGGTTATATCAGGCAGAGGAGTCTGCTGAGGGGAAGAGGAGGATTGAGCAGAGGAAAGAGAGATAGGTGTGCTAATCCCAGGAAGAAAAGAGAGAGGCCTTTGTGGAGGAACTGCACCGCCCTCAGCAGAGCGACTGCTCTCCAATAACTCAGACATAGCAAGACCTCCAGACGGCATTTGAGTGACAGATACAGCAACTTAAGGGGAGAAAGAAAATGTATAGCATGATGAGAACTAGAGAGGAAAAAAATAACAGAAAATTGAGAGTAAAGCTACAGCTTTTTGTAAATCTGTTGATGTGTGTGTTTAAAAGGAGGCAAAAACACTCATTAGATTGAGGTAAATAAGGTTCATTAGATCAAGTTGTGACAGGGCAAGAATGGTAAAAGTCAGGGGCTGGATATATAGCTGTTTGATCAACAAATCACAGGGTGCTACAGCAGTTACTATGGTCTTCAGGCTGTTATTTCCTTAAACAGCAGCCTTAAAACTCATCTGTTGTTTTTAATGGACAGTTTTTCAGAAGTCAATTAAGATTCCTTTTAATGAATCTAGAAGTGAAGTATGTTCAAAGAAAAAATCATTCTACAAAAGTTCCACACAATACCTCTGCAGACCTTACTGCCAGAAACAATCATTTCTAATTAATTTCTTGATTATACCTACATTATTTAAAAATAGCTCTCAGAATTTCATGCACATACTCATGCAATAATGTCATGCAGATATTCAGCATGAATATAGCAAATTTAGTTTAAAATAGTCTAAATGTGAGGCAGAATGTCAAAAAGAGTGCAACTGCAAAATATATATAGTCAGTTTATGAAATACACTACTGTTCAAAAGTTTGGGGTCACTTTACTTAAAGCCTTTATGTATAATGCATTATAAAGGGTTATTAAAGGGTATAATGCATTATAATTATTCATAATGTGCGTTGCAATACATTATATCTTGTCGTCAATAATTATAACCAAATTTAAAATGCATAGTGTAACAACGAATTAAGTGTTATAATGTATTAACCGTGGTACAATTATTCATGAGATTGTACAATGCATTATAAGGTGCACTACAAGGCATAATTAATGCATTAAAACTACTTTTATAATTCATTATACATAAAGGCTTTAAGTAAAGTATTAAGTTTTTTTTTTAAAGAAATGAATAATTTTATTCAGCTAGGGCATTAAATTTATTAAAAAATGACATGATATTTCAGAAATCATTCTAATATGCTGATTTGGTGCTTATGAAACATTTCTTCTTATTATAATTATAATAGAAATCTTTTGTAGCATTATAAATGCATTTATTAAATGTGAATACATTTCTGTTACAAAAGATTTCCTGCAATAATGTTTTTTTTAAAACATTCTATTCATCAAAGATGCTTGAATCCTTACATTTATAATAATAAGCAATCTTTAATGAGCAGCAAATCAGAATATTAGAATGATTTCTGAAATATCATGTGAAATTGAAAACTGCTGAAAATTCAGCAATGGAACAATGGAATAAATTACATTTTAAAATATAGTAAAACAAAATTTGAATTTGAATATTTCACAGTATTATTGTTCTTACAGGTTTTTTTAAATCAAAAATAATAAATGCAGCCTTGAGCATAAGAGTCTTCTTTCAAAAAAAATAATTTATATATATATATATATATATAGACCCCCAAATTTTTTATATTTTTAATCATATTTGTAATAATAATAATTTTGCTTTGTTTTTGTTAGGCAAAAAATGGGCTTCCATAGTACTATTACTTCACCTTTAAAGCACACCAAATCTTCTAAAAACATAAATGATGAAAATATGTACTGTAAGTAATAACACAGAAGAGTGAGTTTGTGGATGATCTATGAGATATGGACATGTACACAGTGCAGCGGATGGAGACCAGCACAACTCTGTGGTGATCTGCTGCATTGCACCGGGTGGATGAGTGTTTGTACCTGAGCCGGTCGGCGGCTGGAAGATTTTGGGCAGGGCAGGTGGATGAGCACGTGCAAATGCAGGTATAGTGAAGGCGTACGGGGAGGGGCGTGCCTGCGGGACGCTGCCGGCAGCACGGGGGAGTTGGATACAGGAAGTGGAGATGGGAGGAGCAGACGGGTCAAGAGCGGTGTATGACAGGGGGTGGTACTGGAGAGGAACGTTAGGTGTAATGAAGGAACAGCTCATCCGCGCCGGTTCAGAATGAGCTGAGAGAAATGATGATGATCATGGAGAGGGGAACAGACAAAAACAGAGGAAGTTAGAGTGGAGGCGTATTTACTAAAGAAGAGTTGACAGGTAGCGGACAAAAAATGCAGAGAGATAAAGAGGAACTGAAATGAGCAGGGAATAATTCAGAAGAGAAGAAAATGAGTGAAACCAGGAAGAGATGCAGATCTCAGATAAACTCTCACACACACAAACTTATGACCACTGGTATGCTGAAGTCATGGGAATGCATTATGCAATTTCACCCACTTTCTGACAGAGCATTCCAAAGAATCCAGTTTATCCAAATACAGTGTAGCAACGCGAGTTAGAAAGTGCATTACTTATGATCTTATTTTTAGTATCTGATGCAAAATGAAGAAGTGAAACAATTATATATTCTATATATATATATATATATATATGTGTGTGTGAAAATGTTTTTTGTGATATTCATGATCTCTACTATTCAATTTCTGGTTTTGGGTTTTAGATGTTTCCACAAGTTTAAGTAGTAACATTATGTTCAATTTGCACAACTAAAGTAATTTACACTTGAGTGCATAATAACAATAATAATAACAGGGGTGAAATGGTGCCAGTACAAACACCAAATGTGCACCAAAATATCCATGGTTTATGTATAAAATAATATAAATATAAAATATACACAATAAGAAATATATAAAATAATACAATAAATATGTATTTTTAAAATATTTATATATACACACACACACACATATATATATATTTATATTTATTTATATTATTATTTTATTATTATATTTATTTATATTTTTATTATATATAAATAATTTAATGTGTAAGAATGCGAAAAAATAATCTTAATACATATACATATATACAGTATGCATATGTAAATTTAGAATATACAAAAATAGATAAATTAATATAATCATACATATTAAATGTTACTGAACTAAAATGTCCAAGTGCATTATTTATACATTTATATTTATACATTGGTGCATTGGGCTCACTGAAAAACAAATAATGCAAATGAATAAATATCAGCCGATCACAGTGTCAAATATTCAGTTAGGACTATCAAAATTTCTTAATAAGTGTCCCACAATTGTGATGCAAGTATTTACCAACCTAAAACCGTCATGATACAAATTGAGCAGGATACATTTTTTTAATACAAATACATTTGAATATTATCAATATAAATAAAATGTTAATTCCAGTGTCAAGGGAAGAAAGAGAGTGGAAAAAGAAGCCAGAGCATTCAGTAATCTACCTGTGTCAGAGGGACCTGTGTCTACCGCAGGTCTCCAGGCTTTGTCATGTATTCTCCTAGCAGGAGGAAGAGGAGCTGACCACATACAGGAAGAATAGAGCCACAGACAAAGAATGAAAAAGAAAGCAAGATAGCAGTTGAGAAAAAATAACCAAAAATAAATAAATAAACAAATCTACAACGTGAATGAGAGATAATATTGTCAGATTCTGTGTTTTATGGCTCACCACATGGAAGCTACCTTTAAATCAAACCTAAATTTAGTATATCATTGCTCTGTTGTTGATTTTGATTGCTTCCATTGTCCTCATTTGTAAGTCGCTTGGACAAAAGTGTCTGCTAAATGACTAAATGTAAATCTGAAATACAGCATTAAACTGGGTAAACATTAAATCAACTCAATACAGCCAAACAACTAAAAACAGCAAACAATCACCAGGTTATCTACATCTACATCAATTTTCATAAAACCAGGAAACAACACAACGCCAGGAAAAAAAATGCACATACCTTTTCAGAACAGGAAATACCTGTTTCTTTGGTTTCAGCTTCAAGTTTTGTAGTATGTGTACTTAATACTGAGAGTATATGTCAATATTACCTATTACTGCTGTGGCCATTTTCACTGCTGCACTCATTCTTCTGTCCTCCTCTTCATCACTGTCATTGAAGTCATCCAGGTTTCCAATGTCGGACTGCTTCAAACTCATCAGACTCGCCAGACTTTGCATGTCTTCATCACTGAATGCACAACACAGAATACAGCACTAGTGAAGATAATTGAAGGCCTACTGAAACAGACTATAGATCAGTAAAGTAAATCAAATGTAGTTGATTCTGTATGTGTCGTCTGCTTGGACTGATGCTTCCACATCACTACACAGATCTAGAGAAACACATCTGGAACATTGAAAACATCTGAACTCACGTAGCTTTGCCCTCCTTCAGGAAGACACAGGACAGTGTGAGTTTAAGTGTGGCATCCAACACTTTCACAGACAGAGGCTTTAGTGTAAGCGCCAGGTCAAACTGAGCCGGGGTTGCGCTTGTGTACTTCTTCATGTTCACATCCACTGACGCTAAAACCTTTCGGTGGCCCTTTGTTTCCTGTGGATGTTAGAGCACAGTACTTTCAAACTGTAGTGTACTGCCAAATCGATGAAGCCATCACAACATAATTCAAGACATGCTTTTTCAAAAACGCTGTCTTTTGATAATAAAATAGTGCAAAAGAGCAAGAACAATACATAAAATGTACAACTTGACCCATTTCTGTGAGAGTCCTTTATTAAATGGAGAAAAAGAGTCAGGGGGTGGCCCACACTTTTTAACCAAAACAGAAATGCTTTTGTGGCTGAGGTTAGCAAACAGCTAAAATTGCTAGCAGCACCTTTAATAAACAGGGTGAGATTACAGAGTAGACAGACTCACATTCTCTATGATGAAGGTCCAGTCTTTGTCCTCAAATTCATCTGCATTTGGATCCTAAAGGGAAAGTGAAAATTGTATGGAGTTGACATGGAGTACAGGTACTTAAATAATATTTATATAACATAAATGTCAAAATTCATGTTTACAACTTCTTATTAGTTTATTACTTGCATATTTAAGCACCGTATCACAAATGATCTGCTACTATTAAAAAGTTTGGGGTTGGCTAAGATTTGTTTTTGAAAGAAGTCTTTATATGCTTACCAAGGCTGCATTTATTTAATTAAAAATACAGTAAAAACAGTAATATTGTGAAAAAGTTTTTACAATCTAAAATAACTATTTTCTATTTTATAATATTTTTTAAAACATAATTTATTCCTGTGGTGGTAAAGCGAATTTTCAGCATCATTACTCCAGTCCTCAGTGTCACATGATCCTTTAAGAAAACATTGTAATATGCTGATTTGGTGCTTAATGTTGAAAACTGCTTAAGATTTTTCTGGAAAATATTTTTTTTCAGGATTGTCTGATAAACAGGAAGTTCAAAGGAACAGCATTTATTTGAAATATGTTTTTTTTTTTTGGAACAATATAAAATATTTAATCATTTAAATCATAACTGCTAAATAAAACTATTAATTTCTTTCAAAAATAAAATCTTACTCAAACATCTTTTAAATTGTATTGTACATGGATTTCTTTTTATATCATACCATATATTCACCTTAAAAAGAGTGACAGTGATATCCACACTCTCAGGAACCTGCCAAACCACAGTCCCCCTGTATGGGTTCTTGATACCTGGTTGCCAGCCATGAAGCTAATAAAGATGATAACAAAGAAAAAACAAAGTCTTAACATGAAAACTGACTGGATGACGATTATGCACATTTCTTCTTTTAAAAAAACACACATTAATAATAACGTAGGTTTCATCTGATTAATGCAATAATCTCACTGTATTTGTGATATGAGCAGAACTACGTGTGTTGAAATTATTAATACATCAGACTGCCAGTTTGCCACCAACTGATTTATGTGTATTTGTGCTTTCTGCTTTCTGTGAGGTTACTTATTTATTTTCCTTCCTCTGTAAAATTTGTAAAAATTCAATTTAGAGAACATGTCCTGATTTAACAGCAAAACGCTATCCAATCATAACCTTAAATGAGAAAAAAAAAACTATTATGTGTTGTTCTGCACTTACAGCTTTACTTAACTTTAATAACTTTACTATTCCAGTAGCTATTAAAACATCTGCAATTCTATATGAATAATATGAGCAATTCTAGATAAGTAAAAGTCAAGGTAACCTAATCACAGCTGCATCTTCATATAGTATTTGAAAGCTATAAATGTGTGAACAGTAACACTGAAAACCCAAATCCTCCTTTTACCTTGCTGCATATGCGTCTGTTTCGTCTGGTCCAAACCACTCGCAGTTTGTCTGGCTGCCTGTGAATGACAAATAACACACAATAGCACATTACAATACAAAAACATCATAGCTCCTGTTCCACACTGGAAGTACATATACTATTATTTAGTTTGTTTAGTGAGCATGTAACATTGCATGAAGCTGTATTTCTCTTCACAAAGTACTGAATTTTGAAATGATTCATAAAACTCAGAAAACATAACTAGGACTTTCACTTAAAATTCCCTAGGGAACTGCTTTAAGGAGGTTACTCTCCATCAGCATGAAGAAGGGGACTACTATCATGCGCACTCAGTTTGGTTATTAGGTTACTCATCTGACCCACATGCAGGAAAGCATTAGCTGGCTTCATTGCGTGGAATGCTGGAGCTTCTTCAAGATCAAGTGAAATTATTTGTTCCTGTTCTAACAGGCTAACAATGTGCATAATGTGAGCAATCGCAGAACAAAATATGTTTCTGCTATTTAAAAAAGTATCTGAGAGACTCATCATGAGGTACAGATGGGTCAATATCCAACACATGTGACACATCTTAAAATATGTCCATGCTAACATTCTGGAGAAGCACAGCATATAGTTGAAAAAAATAATTAGATTAAAGGAGTCACATCATGAGGAATCATTTGACATAAAAGTCCACTGTACTATGAAAACATACTGTAGTTTTCATCTCAAACCTCAAGAAAAAAAAAGTCCAAAAACACCATTTATTTAAACAAAGCTACAAAAAGGATTCATTCTATACTTACAGTGAAATTATTTTTACCTAATTTTACATAAATGGACCTTGGGTATAACATATAAAATTATAGTAATAGCAAATACCTTATACAAACCATAACAAATATTAGTGTTAATAAGTAGTGCAAGTCAATTGTAAGCTTCAGTAACTGAGTATTAGCAGAGTGGGGTGTGATGAGGATTCGTCTCCTCTGCGTCACCCTAGCGCCATTTTGGAGAATATCCACTGAACGCAAACAGCGAATGCTGTTCTGTGTGAGCTGCGTCACGCGAATATGTTGTTTTCATTCAAATCAAAGCACAAACAACGTAGAAAACGTATCCGCTGTTTGCGTTCAGTGGATACTCTCCAAAATGGCTAGGGTGATGCGGAGGAGACGAATTGTTGAATAAAGTCGTTTTTTTTTTTTCTTTTGCGCACAAAAAGTATTCTCGTAGCTTCGTAATATTACGGTTGAACCCCTGATGTCACATGGATTATTTTACCGATCTCCTTGCTACGTTTCTGGACGTTGATCGTGGTAGTACCCTTGCTGTCTATGGGAGGGTCAGACAGCTCTCAGATTCCATCAAAAATATCTTAATTTGTGTTCCGAAGAATGGGTTTGGAACGACATGAGGGTGAGTAATTAATGACAGAATTTTCATTTTTGGGTGAACTATCCCTTTAAGTGTGGTTCTGGGAAATATAACCTGAGCCTTGCTCTCCTTTTCCCCAGCGTGTTTACGTCAAACTGATCTCTCTTCTCTCAAAGGAGGGTGTGGACTCTCCTTACAATAACATGGTCAGATCAGCTGTTTAACTTACATACACTATGCCATTTCCTCATGGAAGTGTTTTTGGCTCAAATGTCTCATTTTTAACCACTTTTTCTGTTTGCCAAATACCTTTATGTTAATTCTCAACAGCAATGCTTCAACGCTTGTTTTGAACACATACAAAAGTGACAATGTCTGCACTACTAAAAATGTTCATCATTTTAATGGTAAAAGACTATAAAATGCTACAGAAAACCCTGTAGATTGGTTAATGGTAAGTTCCCTTAGTGTATACAGTGAAAAACTGTAATTTTACAATGAAATGCTATTAAATTTTCAGTTTGAAAAAGTGAAAAAGAACAAGTCAGCTTATAACTTACAGTGTGTACAGACATTCTACATTTGATGGTTTTTCTATGAAATAACTGTTTTGTTTTGTTTTCAGTAGCCTACCAGTTATATACATTAGGGTTTTATGTTATCTTATGTTGTTAAATGAATTTTTATTACATGATGGTGTTTTGGATTTGTGTGTATGACTTGGTGTGCAGCTTCTATGCATTAGTATTTACTTCAGCTTGTGGAAAAGCTTCTTGTGATGAACTTTGATTCTGCATGTGCATGGCTTTCTAATTACCGCCTGTGTTTTTTTATGGTTGTCAGTGTGTTATAAAGGCACAAAACCAATTTTTTAGTATTTCAGTAGGTTGGTAGTTTAACATTATATCAGTTAATGAAATATACATCGTCTTACTGCATATTTAAGTAAAATCAGTAAAACCTAAAATGTTACTTCCATATTTGTGGTATTTCTGGCAGCCACAGCTGCCATTTCTTACCATAAATGACACAATTTACTGTGTAATAACACAAAAGTACAAAAAATACACTATTATTTATACATGCAGATGACTATGCAGTTATGCAACTCTCATATCACGCAGGTCGCTCCTATAATCTTGGGATATAAACTACATGCTTTGCCTTTCCAGGCATCCCATGCAACCCACCTGTAACATCTATCACTCAATAGTGCACCTGGAAAAGTGCTGACTATTCAAATAAATGGGACATGAAGTGCTTCTATAAAATAATTTCCTCAAACTGATGAAAAACCAAATGATTGCAGTAGATTATGTCTACGCATGTTAACGTGACATTTGAGTCATAATAAAGGAAAGGAAAGGTGGAGAGAGAGAATCGTGGGCCTCTGGGTCTCGTATTGCAGGTCAGTGTCAGCAGCAGCTGCGTGAATGGATGCAAGAGGCCAAGCGTCGTGGTGACAGAGTCATGGGGTCCAAAGAAATAGACTGGGAAATGGCACACGCATTGATATAAAGCGGCTGAAACACTGTGCTACATCTATTAAACTGCATAAGAAGGGATTCAAATGTTATGCTTTTAAACAACTACTTAGATTTGAGGTATTAGATGGTGCAATGTTTAAACTTAAAAGTAAATGTTACACATCTTTTTTTTTATATTATGTAAAATAATAACCCAGTTCAAACACTACGATCAGAGATTGTAAATGTTTCACTTGTAGACAGTCTTATAACACTGACCACATTTCACATTCAAGAACTAGCCTAGTCATTTCACTGACAGAATCAAACAGCTGTTCTGAGGTCAGACATTGTTAAGTCATGTGACTACACAAGACACACTGTCAATGGACCACAGAGAGGGCTGCAGCAGCCACAGAAGTCAGATGACACCATCACAGCATCAGCTAATATTACTGAATGTTCCATGAAATACGCTACTGTTCAAAGCTTTGGGGTCAGTAATATTTCTGAAAGAAACTAATACTTGTATTCAGCATGGATGCATTAAATTAATCAAAAGTAAATAATAAATACATTTATAATTTTACAAAAGAATTCTATTTCAAACAAATGCAGTTCTACAATTCTGAAAAAGTGTGTCATGGTTTTCACAAAATTTTTAGTGGCACAACTGTTTTAAACATTGATAATAATAATAAATAAATAATTGTAAATTAGCATATGATTTCTGAAGGATCATGTGACACTGAAGACTGGAGTAATGATGCTGAGACTCCAGCTATCACAGGAATAAATTACGCATTAAAATTAGTGCTATCAGAACGATTAATCACGATTAATTGCATCCAAAATAAAAGTTTTTGTTTACATAATATGTGTGTGTGTGTGTGTGTGTACTGTGTATATTTATGTATATATAAATACACACACATGCATGTATATATTTCAGAAAAATATGTTACGTTTGTATATTAAATATATTATATATAATATAAATTATATGAATATAAATATACATGTAAATATTTTCAAAATATATACTGTATGTGTGTGTATTTATATATACATAAATATACACAGTACACACATATATTATGTAAACAAAAACTTTTATTTTGGATGCGATTAATCGCGATTAATCGTTTGACAGCACTAAAATATATTACAATTATTACAAATTAAAAATTATTAAAAATTATTATTAATATATTACAAAACAGGTAACTATTTTAAATTGTAATACTATTTCACAGCATTACTGTTTTTATTGTATTTTTGATTAAATAAATGCAACCTTGATGAGCAAGAGAGTTCAAAAATAAATTTTTGAACAATAGTATATAAAAGGCTAACCATATAGTGTTGTCAAAGTGAACAACAATGTAGTGTCTCAAAAGTGAACATGTTTCAGCTAATAAATAAAGGCATGTCTACAACATAGGATGTAATAGTTCTGTCTGCTTTCTAGGCTTGATGCCTAGTTTTCACTAAAATAAATAAAAACAAAAATAAACATCTTTAATCATTCCAGCCATTCCACATACTACAAATTCTTCTGAGCTAGCCATGTTTCTCTTAACTCTCTATGATAAAGACAAGAATATGGATCCTTATTATCCTTCTTCTAACATTGTTTTGATGGAATATCGATTACCACAAACATTCACTGTCACATGATGCTAATGCACATTATGATGTTGACTGTCAGGAAAATAATACATTTTCAAGATTGACAGCCTACAATTCAGAAGCATTTATTTGCTAAAAGGGATTATTGAGAGAACTGCATTGAAATTATGTCAGGTTTAGATGACTGAACTCAACTAATAACTAAGCAAATAAAGGACACTAGAACTCTTTATATGAAACACATCCTTCCTCGACATATTAAGACATAGCCTATGTGTCTAATGCAAGGTCTGTTTGGATTTGCCACACTGCCAATAAGAAGTCTGGCACACCTGACTGATTTTTTTCTGATTGTTTCTTAAAAATCATTTTTATCTAAATGCTTCCACGCTTGAATTTAGTTTTGTATACAAAAATAAACCTCTCAGATTATGTGTATGTATAGCCAACTATTTATAGTATATGTATAGTCAGATGGTTAGCTGTGAATAGGTTTATAATTGTTTTTATACTTCTGTTGTTGTATGTTTATATATGTTTAATTATTATGTAGCACCCTGGTCCTGCGAGACACAACATTTCGTCTATGTCCACACATGTAGCAGCATGACAATAAAGCTCCACTTGGCTTGACTTGAAACTGTGCTTAATGAATGAGTTGGACAGTAAAATAAAGGAAAAGCAATCAACAAGTGCTCAACAAGCACTCCTTCAATAAAACCACCCCAGAATGCACCTCCTGCACTTTAGAAAATGAGTGTGCAGAGCTGCAATCTAGATAAACGCTAGCAAATTTGACGGAACAAATGTTTTTGAAATATTGAAATACATATAATAAAAGACTATGTGCATGACTGAATGGAAATAAATGGCTATGGTTAGTTGCTTCGTTTATCAACATGTCTAAGACCTTCCCATCATCATCAGAATTGAAGAGTATCACATAAACAGGGCTTAATGAAATTGGTCTGCAGCTGCTAATGAAACTGTCCTTGAAGATGCGCTTCAAGTGGAACCATTAAGATGAATGTGTTCGGGAGAACTGCAAGTAAAACGGAAGTATACGCGGAGGAACCAATAACAAAAACAGAAATGTGCTTGCCAGAGTAAACAAGCCCTCATATACTGTCCGTTCATGAGCCACAACACACTGACAGTAAACTACACCATCACTACCCACTGCAACCACACAAGTTTTGTTGTTTATAATGAGAGCGATGCGTTCTATTTTTATAGCGTCGCGTCGCTTTCTAGACTGGTGTTACTGTAGCTACTTCAACCTTAAAAGAAACGTTAAACATATACGATAGTGTGTAACAACAGTACATGACAATGAAAAGAGAAATCGCATTTCTTACCACTTCTTAGTGCACTCTACGGTGAGTTCTTGAAAGGACGCGGCAAACTGAAACTTCGACGCTCTTTTGCCAGCGCGCTGAAGCCTCTTCCAAACCGATGTCATGACTGCACTTATATTAGATAATTCCTCACAGAAGAGACTGGTGAATTAAAAATACATCGTGGGAATTGCTGTGTCACTTCGCCTACCCCCGATGTTTCAGGGACGGCAGCTCCGCGCCCCGCTCCTCATTCACACACGCTCCAAATGTCAAAGTGAAGGCTGCAGAAGATAAGCGCAGACAGATCAGAGGAAACATACAACCAACCACTTGGGTTGAACTGACATATCCTGCACAGCAAACCCTTGGAGTGGCCGGGGAAACAGAAATGCAGGGTTTTTATATATTTTATATATTTATAGCCCTATAGTCAATGTAATAAGACAATAAAGTGTTAGGGAGTAGGCTATAGTCTTATTTTCCTCGTTAAGTTAATATTGTAGCCATTTTTATATAGCCATATTTATGTAATAGGGCTTAGGTTTTGATTAAAAAGTCCACAAATGCGTGTTTGCTTTATCAGCAGTTTTAAGCTTTCAGACATCACGCTTAGGTCTAGAGAATTCTGTCCTGCAAATTAAAATTCTATTATAAATAGAAATACAATTTAAAAACAAATCAATTTTTTTTTATCGTATATCAGTTGCACCTTATTTATATTACAGTGTATATAATATATATATAAAATATAAATTAATATTAAACAAATATTTAATATATATATATATAATATTGTTACAATAGGCCTATTATATAATAATTAATAACAATATTATATACACTGTAAACTTATTTTTCTAAGTTGTAAATAAAGATTATGTGTACATTTTCTACTTAAAAATTCACATTTAGTTCAATGTATTACTTGCTGTTTTTTTTATAACAGTAAAATTTACTAGCAATTTCTATGTGAAAATTGTTTCTACACTATTAATTTTTTTTTTTATGTTGATGAATTCATTCACATTCATGAATCGTTTTGTGCTTAATGATTGTTTTACCGTTTAACAGACTAAAAAGACAAAGACTGTTTATTGACAAATTACAATGTGACAACATGCCCCACCATTGTCAGCATGTAAAATGAACTGTAAAAATATTATCAGGAACAAAGAAAATGTGATATATAGTACAGATCTTTCCTTCTGGGTAAGGCGAAGTAATATTTCTTACCTTGCCATGGGAAGCAGTTTGTCTTGTTGAAGTGAATGGAGGTTGGCAGGGCTATTCAAAGCACTCTGTGAAAGGTTAAAGGTCACCATTACCTCATTCGCAAGCAGTTTTTTTCACTGTGCTTTAAACAATAGGATGAAACCAAAGACTAGTGTCAACAAGAGTGGGATATTACTTTGCATTGCTTCTATAACTGATACAGTCGACTGTTAGTTCTTGCTCAGTACAGTCATACTATTTGAACTATAGGTTTAGGTGTGGCTAAAATAGCAGGTAGCTTGTGCAGCAGATAGCCTGATGTTATGTTATTATGACCTGAGACCAGTTTTGTAGACATCATAGCATCATTGTGATCCTAATATGGGCACCTGGAGCTGATTCTAGATCAGTGTGAGTGGGACAGGCTGAAACTTGCCCCTGCTGATGAGAGTTTAGATTAGCTTTGGCAGGTGTAGCAAGTCCAAAACCAAAGGAGAAGTTCTGCACGCAAAGCAAGATCAAAATCTCTGAAGCTCTGCTTTGTTGTAGTCTTTAGAAAAGATGACCAGATCCAAAATAAATCCACCGAGATCCTCTATCCAAAACGCCCAATCTAGCACGCCAAAATATGGTTCCAACTACCTAAAAAGTCATGTTTTGGTGAGGTTAACTTGCTTCAAGCTGCTCTTGTCTTTTATTACAGAAATGTCTCTTCTGAAGTCCTTTCTGGAATATGACAACAGATTAATTGAACTAGTTGGGTCATTTTAATTTGTTCATCAAGCCAAGAATAACAGTATATTGATAGAGGGATCGGGAAAGGGAAGAGAAAGAGAGAGACATCATATAAACCTACAGATCACGAATAAGGTTCCCGCTCACAGCCGTACACTTCCTGTTAGTTGAGCTTGTCGTGGTCTCAGTACTTCCTGTTTTCCTGTGGCATTGACCTCCTCAAGTACCAACTGCAGGAAATGTTCTAAAAGAAGACAAGCCTAAACAAATCTGAGTGCCATTGGTACATTTCTTAGTTTCATCTCTAAACCATTTCAGCCATAACAATGACTGCTTGCAATAACAGTGACAAAATGGACACTACTATTCAAAAGGTTAATTAAACTGATCAAAAGTGTCAGTAAACATTCACATTGTTACAAAAAAAATTCTATTTTTTCTATTTCAAATAAATGCAATTTCTGTTGATCAAAGAATTCTGACAAAATGTTCAAAGTAACAGTTCTTTTAAATGTAATAATATTTCAAAATATTACTATTTATACTGTATTTCTGACCAAACCAATGCAGCTTTGGAGAGTCTTGTTTCAAAAAAACATTTTAAAAATAAGTTGTGTATGGAAAAAATTTATAATCAGCATAACAATCAGAGTGAAAAAATACAAAAAAACTATATGATAAAAAAATCACCAGCTGAACTGGCATGAACTTGATCAAACATTATTAAGACCTGATGATCATGTTCTCCAGCATGATTTGAGAATGATCCAAAGAGCATCTTGTGCTTCAATGGAAACAAGAACATCTGACCTTCCGAAAAACAGAATTCATATGATCAGTCTCACAGATTTACTTACATTCGTCTAATTACCTATGAATAGTACAGAAACATTTTTTTTAAATGTTTAAATCAAAAATTTTAAAAATTAAATCAAATTAAATTAGATCTTGAGGAAATTTTTATTGATCTTCATTGTGGTCTCAGATTTTTGAAACTCGCTTTATTTGGGGAAATTGTAATGATATTTTTTATATTCATTGCATTTTTTTTTCTAAATGTTTTTAGCAATTCTAAAAGTGGACAGATCAACCAAAGTAACTGATTTAAACAATTATCACCAATAAGAAACAGACATTTAAGAGCTGCCTCAAACCTAGATTCCAGATGACCAATCTTATCATCTTGCATTCTTTAAGAGCACAATATGAACAATAAACAATATGAACTTAATATCACAGGAAGATAACATTTCATGACCTTTCAACACACCTCACTTTCTAGTGTGGAAAACTATATTGTGTCAGTTACCCCATCTGTTCACGATCAGAGATAACATTTAAACCAGCGTGACAAATATAGACATGCATGTAACACCTGCTAACTGTCAATCTGAATGAAAGAGCAGTTGACATTGTGAAAGCATTAGGCACTTTGGTAACAAGGTCATATGTATATACCGCATGCATGTGTCAAAAATGGCTTTAATATATTTAAAATGTTTTTTATTGTTTAAAAGCCAACGAAATGTTAAATGTTTGATTTAATGAGCTCTGTACTGTACTGACCTGCTGAGGATTTAAAAAGTTTAAGGCCAGCAGGGTTTTGGAAAAATGTTGTTTATGCTTCATGGTCCTCACAGTAAATGAGCGGGGAACCCCCTATAATTTCTTCAACTCCTCTGGGAAGTTCACGTCACGCCTCTTTCGGTCAAAGACTTGTGTCCTGCGTTTGTTAACAGATGTCAGCAGTTCTGCCATTAGGATAATTTGAGGGGAAACAATCTTACTTATTTCCTATTTTTATCCTACGCGTTTGCTATTTATAATCCTGTTTTTTTGGGGGCAGCTTATTAAACTACTGTTTAATTCAAGTGACTAAAATTGGGTTGAGGTTTGGTTACCCAGCACTGCGCCAGCTTTTGGGGTCTAACTTTACTTCAGTCCTGACCTACATACAACTCTTCTAAACATATCAACAGATCTCAGAAGCAGCCGTTTCAATACACACAAAATGTAATACATATAAATGTAACCAGATTTTGAAGTGATGTGATAAAATAAAAATACTACGTAATATTCTGTTTATACTTAGGGACAAAAGTTATTGGGCTTTTGTCTTCTTTAAAAGCCAAACATTTAGAAAGTGCAAAACAGTATACCTACATACAGTAAACATGATGGTATTTTCAATTAAAAGGAAACATTTTGTCACACACACACACACAAAACTATGCATTAAAAGTAATTAAGTGAACATAAATGCACCCTCTGCTTCAGCACAACTAGGCAACAGCAGAATTGGACTGTAAAAGACTGAAGACCATAATAGAAGAATATGACCTCATTGCAAAGTAAGAGGTAGAGCCAGTGAAGTGTGTTTATGTGAGACTGGCAGAGCCATCAGCACTGGGCACAGATTCTGAGTTACCATCCCACACACACACACACACACACACACACCTGCTCCCTCCCCGCTGCAACTGTGAAGAACAACATGTGAAACATGAGCATCTCAATTTGAATATTTTTATTGTAATAGGCTGCATACTTGACATACTTGAATGAATTAAAAAATCGTGATCATCAAATACATTCTGAATCATTAAATGATTTTGAAGATAAACGGTGTCTGTATTGAATTTCTTTACAAAACTTAAATTGTAATGTATGTATTTACTTTTTAAATTGATGAATTTTAGAAGAAGAAAAAAACAGAAAAGAAAAAAAAGAGTCCAAAATACATGAGAAGCATTTTAATATTTTACTCCCAGGATGTATCACATGCTGTAATCTAGGGTGGCTACTTTGAAAAACGTAAAATATATGATAGTTTTGGTCATTATACACTACAATTCAAAAGCTTGGGATCAATAATGCATTAAATTTGATCAAAAGTAACAGTAACATTTTTGAAAATGCAGCTTAGCCATCACAGAAATAAATTACATTTCAAAGTATATTTTACAGATAATTTAATTCTACAGGTTTAATATTAAACTATTATTAATTTTAATAATAGTTCACAATATTACTATACTTTTGGTAAAATAAGTGCAGGCTTGGTGAGCATAAGAGACTTTTTGCAAAAACCTACCAACCCCAAACTTTTTTGGTATTATACCTTTACTATTAAAAAAAAAAAGAATTATATATATATATCCAAGTCCAAACACTGACTACTTATAAAATATTGTTTCTTTTTTGAATCAGTATCTAGTTTAGAACGTAATATAAAAATATATAAATTTAATATGATTGATTGATAAATAAATAAATAAATAAGTAAATAAATAAGAAAAGCTTTGTATTTGTATATGATATGTGTAGACTTAAATATTAGGATTGCAATAAATCTAAAATCTAAAATACAAATATATCATGCATTTAGTAAGTTGACTACTAAGAAAAAATAAATGCATAATCCAACAAGTTTAAATGAATGAAGTTTTGCATACTTAATCCAACAAGTTCAAAAGAATGAATGAATGATTAAATAAATAAACTTTTGTATCGACTCTTCACAATCCAAAGAGTATTAAAGAAAAGGAACCGATATCGCCACCTAGTGGTTTCCAGCTTCATTCGTAGATATAATTTATTCTTACAATGTCCAGTTCCATTGTATCAGTTGTGAAGTGGAAGTGGATTGACACAGATCTGGTCTTAGTGAAGGGGGAATATTTTCTTTGGTGGCTGCTATGGGTGTCAGGCCAAAGACTGGTGGCAGCTCTATTGTTGGAGTGGCAGGTGAGTCTGTGAAAGCAGGGGAGATGGTGGATATAGGAAGGGTGTAATGAGGTTCCTCCTCTGCACCTGTCATGTCTCCACTGAGCACAAGCTCATCCAAACCCACCCCCTTCAGCTCACCCTGCCACGGTCCAGCGAAAAAACGCATGATGGCTTGAACCTGCTGCAGTTCCCAGCAACTTTCCATAACCACAAGCAAGACAATCAGTCCAACCATCAGGTAACCTGAAAAAGAGGGTCTAAATCAGGGTTTGTTAAGGTTTTGTAAAAAGTAAATTTAAGACTTTTAAGACCCTTTAAAGACCAAGTAAAGTAAATTTAAGTCAATATGGTCTCTAAATAAAATTTCACAGTTTGAAAATACAACTTTCTAAGAATCTCCATCACTTTTTTCAATTCATTTTACTAACTAACTAACTAAAAGCTTAATAAGGCTTGGGTATATCTCTACTCCCAACCACTACAATATACATAACTTACAGGAGGTTGCAAACTCCAGCCACTGACGTGCTGCTCGGCTTTGTGTCCTGCCGGGCAGATAGTCAACAAGTCCTGTGGTGCTAAGTGAGATAAAACAAAAATACAGCGACTCCAGGTAATTCCAGTCGTTCTCCAGCAGGCAGAGGGCACCAGCAGGCAGAAGAAAAAACAATGTCGCTGTGCAAAAGGCCAGAAGGCTGCAGTGCAGCAACGCTGCATTGTTGCGAGACAGTCCCCAGAAGACTTGAAGGTTGTGAATAGGGGTGTGTGTTACCCAGGGCAGGAGGGCATGAGTGAGGCTGGACAGCAGCAGCAGGGTGAAGGGGATTCCCACAAGACAGTACACAACACAAAACAAACGGCCCTCATCCGAAAGAGGCACAGTGGTGCCATAACCTGCAGGGTTATTACAGTTAAATAATACCATAAAAAAGTATTTGTTACTTGAAATAAAAAAATAATAATAAATTGAAATAAAAATAATTTTAAATAATATTTCAGATAGATGCCAAAGCAACATTTCTCATCATCTCAACTATAACAGTATATCACTGATACTAAAATAAAACGGCTTTAAAGATAGCTGTCCCTTTTGACAAGTATTAATAAATGTGATGGCCAAATTACACTGCATGATACTGGTAGACCAATCATTGTCAAATAAACCATATAAATTATTAGTCACTCTCTAGTTAAATTTGAATATAAACGGATTTAAATTTAAAACTAAATGTAAAAACAAACAAACAAACAAATAATAAGTAAATAAATGACAAAAATGCTTAAAATTCAAGTTCTAAAGCACATATACATAAATAAAAAATTTTGTGTGCATATTAAGATTAAAATACAAAATAAATAATTTTAAATATAAACTAAAGAGAACGCTCCAGTTGCTGACGTAACCTCGGTTCCCTGAGATAAGGGAACGAGCGTTGTGTATGGGTAAACTTCTGTTTACTCTGTTACTGAAGCCTGATTTGTTCACGTTTGTGTAGCTGCACAAACCAATGTCGCTTTAGCCCGCCAGAAAGGGCGGAGCCAACATGTATATAAGTCGGCTTGCAGCGCCATTTAATCAGAATCATTCAACTGAAGTGACAATCATCGATTCGCGTGCAGCTTATAGCACGGCAAGTGACACAGCATCTCAGGGATCTCAGGGAACCGAGGTTACGTCAATAACCGGAGCGTTCCCTTTCGAACATTCACTTCACGTTGTGTATGGGGAACGAATCAAATCATGCCGTGCTATCAGCAGAAGCAGACTAAAGGCCCGGGAATACTTCACATTCCGCCTTCCGTTGCGTTCCGCACAGCCGCGTCTGCACAGCTTTCAAAGTATACTCAACTGAGGATGAGCGCAGACGGACGAGCTCGACACATGCGCAGTACCACTTACTCTGTCTCAACATTCACCTCGTGCATGCGCTGTTGTACGCGCGGTCTCAAAAAATTGCCTGCACGCGGATGGGGTGCTCGGCTGTGCGCGAGCCCACTTGATGACAAAAATTACAAAATGTGGATGGTGAGCGGACGCGTGCGGCCGAAGTATTCTTTGGCCTTAAGCCGCTCTGCGAGCCCAGTTCTGGAGCACTTAAGTTAAGGGCCCCTAGAGAACATGAGCCAACTGAGTCCCGAGCATAGCTGAGGACTTTTGGACATAGCTATTTCCACCGTAGGGAGAAATAAGCAGTTTAATCCGATAAAATCGCTGCTTGGAGAGCAGGGACATCTAGACTGTAAAATCTGGCAAACGTGGACGGCGACAACCAGCCGGCGGCCGCACATATCTCACCAATAGAGATTCCGCTGGACCAAGCCTAGGAGGAGGCCATTCCTCTAGTGGAGTGGGCCCTCACACCTATGGTGCACTGCTAACCTTCTGAGGCATAAGCCAAGGCTATAGCATCAATTATCCAGCGGGACAGTCTTTGCTTTGTAACCGGCAACCCCTTAGAGCGACCTCCAAAGAAAACGAAAAGCTGCTCCGACTGTCTGAACAGGCTGGAGCGTTCAAGATATATTCTCAGGGCCCTGACAGGGCAGATAACCTGCTCACCATCTGCAGCGGGGAGCGCCAGAAGGGTAATAACTTGGGCTCTGAACGGAGTTGAGAGCACCTTCGGAACGTATCCATGTCTAGGCTTGAGGACGACTTTACAGTCGCTAGGCCCAAACTCCAGACAGGAAGCACTGATTGACAGTGCTTGTAAGTCACCCACTCGCTTGACGGATGCTAGTGCCAGTAGCAGAGCGGTTTTCAGTGACAAATGGCGTAGTTCGGCCAAATGTAGCGGCTCAAACGGAGGACCCCGTAGGGCCCTAAGGACTATTGACAAGTCCCAGATCGGTACAGTCTGAGGACGAGGAGGATTTAATCTCCAAGCGCCCTTCAAGAACTTAACGATCAGACAACAAACTTTGCCGATCGAATGGCCAGCTTCGAGGGAATGATTCGCTGCAATAGCTGCCACGTAAACTTTGAGTGTGGAAGGGGCGCGCCCCTTGTCCAGCAACTCTTGTAGAAAGGATAGCACGTGGGACATGTCACAAGATACTGGTTCCAGGCTTCGTGCAGTACACCAGTCACGAAAGACTGACCATTTAAGGGTGTAAAGGCATCCTGTAGATGGTGCTCTAGCCGCTAAAATGGTATTATTTACTCTCGCTGGGAGCTGCGTAGGCTCCCGTCGAGACTCCATACATGAAGGCTCCACAGCTCTGGCCGGGGAAGCCAAATCATGCCTTTCGCCTGCGAGAGAAGATCTCATCTCAGTGGTATCGGCCACGGGCAGCTACTGAGAGCTGCACTAACTCGGGGAACCAAGCCTGGTTCCTTCAGTGTGGGGCCACCAAGAGAACTAAGCATTTCTTCTCCCTGACCTGTTTGATGACCTGAGGAAGCAGGGCTATTGGGGGGGGAAGGCGTACAGGCGAGCACTGGGCCAATCGTGGGCCAGAGCATCTCACTGTATCGAGAAATAAGTTGGGCAGTGAGAGGTGTCTTCTGAGGCGAAGAGGTCTACCTCTGCCTTCCCGAAGACAGATCAAATTTCTTGAACCGTATGAGGATGTAGGGTCCATTCTCCTGGAGCCACATTGCCTCTGGACTGCGCCATGGTTCAGACTGCCCGGCACGTGAACCGCTTTTAGAGAAAGGAGTTCGTTCTGTGCCCAGAATAGGAAGTGTCAAGCCAACCTGTAAAGGGAGTGAGACCTCAGACCGCCTTGGCGATTGATGTAGGCCACCACTGTCATGTTGTCCAAATGGACCAGGACATGGTGCCCGCGTATGGCCGGCAGGAAGGTTTTCGGGGCCAGAAAAACTGCTAGGAGCTCTAGACAGTTTATATGCAGGCGCCGTTCCGGGGCTGATCAGGAGCCGGATGCCGGATTGCCCTCCAGCAGAGCTCCCCAACCTAAGTTGGAAGCATCTGTCATAACCACCTTCCTCTTGGAGGTCAGTCCCAACCGTACGCCTGACTGAAACAGGCGTGAAGTTGTCCAAGGGGCCACAGCGTTGATACAGCGATGGTTTACCTTGATATAAAAGCGTCCCAGGCACCAAGTGTGGGGCGGGACTCTGGCTTTGAGCCAAAATTGGAGAGGCCGCATGTGAAGCAGGGCCAAGGGAATCGCAGAGGAGGTGGCAGCCATGAGGCCGAGCAGCCTCTGGAAAACATTGAGGGGACAAGACGTTCCTGGTTTTAGGGACACCGCCAGTCGCTGAATAGTCAGGGACCATTCCAGCGTGACCCAAGCCCGCATCTGGGCAGAGTCCAAAATTGTCCCCAGTAAGACCACTCGCTGTCTGGGGAACAAATGACTCTTCAGAAGGTTGATGTTCAACCCGAGGCGCTCCAAGTGGCTGAGTAACAGCGCTCTGTGAGCGACTAATTCCCGTTCTGATCTGGCCAGGATCAGCCAGTCATCGAGGTAGTTGAGTATGCAGATTTCCATCTGCTTCAGAGGGGAAAGAGCTGCGTCTATGCACTTCATAAAAGTGTAAGGGGGCAGAGACAGTCCAAATGGTAGGACTGTATATTGGTAGGCCACTCCCTCAAATGCGAATCTCAAGAACGGCCTGTGATGGGGGGCTATGTGGATGTGAAAGTAAGCATCTTTCAAGTCCACTGTTAAAAACCAGTCCTCAGGGCAAATGTGGGTGAGGATCTGTTTGATAGTTAACATCTTGAACGGCCGGCGCATAAGCGAGTGATTCAGATGTCTAAGATCCAGAATTGGTCTCAGCCCGCCATCTTTTTTGGGAGCAAGGAAGTAGCGGCTGTAAAAATCGAGCTGTTTTTGAGGGAGTTCCGGCCGAGGCAAATTACTCAGATCTCCACCGCCTTGGAGAAAACACGGATCAGCTCACTGTCCGGTTTCGGCCGCGATGGTTGGGAAGAAGGGAGGGCTTCGGGCTCCTCGTCGGAAGCGCACAATTCTTCAGCGTCTGATGCTGTCAAGGACAAATAGAGTCATCGACGGTAATCTCTTCCTTGGAGGCGCCAAAGGAAGCCAAGCCGCTCACTGCAGAAGAGGGGCGTTGATCCTCTTGTGCGAAGCACACTGAAGCGACCAGGCGGAGAGGGGGGAACGCGGGCGCTGGGCCGACGTGACACCACTTGCACCCGTTGAGAGAGAGCCGCTGCTCCGCTGTTTCTTCCTCTTAGGAGAGAAAGGAAACAGGAGAGCAGAGCCGGAAGTACCGCCTTCAGTGAAGGCGGCGATACTTGAGCGAAGACTGGACAAACTCGTATTCTCGTAATGTGAACATGAGCCGTCAGTGAGCGCAGCCTCTGCGTGGGCGCTGCCCAGGCACACTCGCTGTGCCCGTATAACTCGTGCTAGGAGTCCTTGCACGAGTCAGACAGGCACAGTGAGTGTGTCGCCTGCACTCGCGGCGCGACATTTGCAACAACGCACGCTGGAAATTTGCTCTAATTTGCTCTTTTAGAAAGTGCCGGATGGCCGCAGGGGAGACTCGTCCTCTGCCGGGGGCTCTTCAACGGCAGCGAGCGGGTTGAGCTTTTTTCCATCTTCTTTCATCGGCTTCTTGCAGAGTCAGCGAAGAGATGATTCTCATCGCGGAAGGAGAAGATTTTGATGAAATGGCGCTGTGAGCCGACTAAGGGGCCGTTCACATATCGCGTCTTTTGCGTGCTCAAGTTCGTTATTTCAAATGTAGACGCGTGGCAGGCACGCTCATAATGGAAGCGACATTTTTTCCAGGCGCGTCCGCGGCGCGCCTAGCGTTTTCCACGCGTTTTTAGGCGCGACATGTGAACGGCCCCTTATATAGGCTACACGTCGGCTCCGCCAGGGCTAAAGCGCCATTGGGGATTTAGTAGCAGAACTACTGCAAGCGATTTTTAGTGCTGCAAATCCATTTATCCTTTGCTGAAACTTCCGCGTCTTCAAGGAGAGCGCAGGTCATGGTTGCTTAGCAACGGCAGACGCCTCCGGAGCGCAAGCGCCCGAAAGCTTTGGAAAAAAGCAGAAAGCGGCGCGCCTAGCGTTTTCCACGCGTTTTTAGGCGCGACATGTGAACGGCCCCTATAGGCTACACGTCGGCTCCGCCAGGGCTAAAGCGCCATTGGGTTTGTGCAGCTACACAAACGTGAACAAATCAGGCTTCAGTAACAGAGCATTTGGTTTGTTGACTGTAATAAATAAACTATGGTTAATCCAAGTTATAAATAAATAAATAAATATTTTGAGTGTGCAGACTTAAATACATAGCTGTAGGCTACTCTGAAAGAGCTATAGGATTAATAGATCTAAACAAACAAGACAGGGAGACAAACAGATAAATGGTGCAATAAATTTATATTTGCTTCTTGGCCGTAAACAACAGTGTCACTTGCTTCTTTTAGTCAACATATGACATTAGACAGCCTCTCAGCAGATATTGAGCTGTATTGCTCCAAAAGTTAAATAATCCGAATATTAGACAATTACAATAGTAACTGGGACGGCGATTTTTAAAGAACTTTTTGTGTTTAATAATAGCGGTAGTTTTTAACGTGATGCATTCAGCCAGCATTGTAATGAGTGTCCGACTGCTTCTCACCTGTGGTCGTGAGGAAGGTAATGACGAAAAACAGCGACGACGTGAAGTCGAAGTTGCATTCATCGCTGGCGGACTCCAGTGTGGCCACGCCGCGTTTACTCGCAGAAAGCACGTTTATCAACAAACGATCCAAACTGCTCTCCTCAACACACGGGTTATCTGCCAAAAAAAGCGCTTTTAGTTCACGGACCTCTTTAACGAGCAAATTCTCCTCCGGTTGCTCCAGTATCATCAAAACAACAGCACCGATGACGACGAAGAGGCCATACGCTATCAACATAAACGTGAACGCGTGAACACGTAGAAAAGTCAGAGCTTTATCAGCACAAATAGCCATTATGAAACTAGTTTTGTTTGTATATTGCTTCAGTATGGCAGAATGTTAAAGTGCGGCATGTGTAACCAAACCTGGGCTCTGACATGGAGAGTTCAACTCATGCTGAAAGTTTAATGCATCAGGTCAGCAGACATCTGCGACACCATCAGCCTTCACCTGTCTGGTAAAGCAGCACCTAAACCAAACTTTTCAAATGATGAAGAAGCTGCATCAACTACTTCTCTAGAGACTGGCAATAGTCCAGTTGTCATCAGAACAGAACTTTATATCTTAAAGGAATATTTTAAAATTCTGACACCTACTCACCCCCATGTTGCTCTAAAACCGTGAGATTTTCTATGGAACAAAAATTAAGAATTTTGAAGAATGTACGGAAAGATACAAACAGTAACCAGTAACAGTCAAACCCCAAAAAGAACAGTATAAGCATCATAAAATTACCATAAAAGTAGTCATGCTTTATGTTCCAAGTCTTCTGGAGCCATACGATAGCTTTGTGGTGAACAGACTGAAATTTAAGTTAATCAATGAGAATTGAGAATTGGTACATCATGAAGGCATCGCATCACTGGCATGAATGATGCACCAAGTACATCTCTATTTTCTTCAATTGTACAGAAATAAGAAAACATTCCAGGACTGGGTTAACTTTCCTTTGTGTTCAATGAAAGAATACAAAGCCTGATGAACTGTCCCTTTAAAAAGAATGCTTTAGATTAATTAAAATGCATAACGATTGAAGAATTATTCTCTGGAACAATTCTAAAACCTCTCTCTTTTTTTTTTAAATAAAAATAATAATTTTAACTCCTTTAGAGTAATGCATTAAGCACTGTTTTTGGTAAATTAATTAAAGGGGGTCATGATGGGACTGTTTAGATTTTACATGCAGCTTATTATACCAGGCCTAAGAAAAATGAAAATCATTGGCATTATAAACAGACTGGGCAGTTTAAATACAAAATAATAAAGTATCACACGAGTACATTACATAATGTTTTTATTTATACAGGCCTACATCATTATGAAGGCATCGCATCACTGGCATGAATGATGCACCAAGTACATCTCTATTTTCTTCAATTGTACAGAAATAAGAAAACATTCCAGGACTGGGTTAACTTTCCTTTGTGTTCAATGAAAGAATACAAAGCCTGATGAACTGTCCCTTTAAAAAGAATGCTTTAGATTAATTAAAATGCATAACGATTGAAGAATTATTCTCTGGAACAATTCTAAAACCTCTCTCTTTTTTTTTTAAATAAAAATAATAATTTTAACTCCTTTAGAGTAATGCATTAAGCACTGTTTTTGGTAAATTAATTAAAGGGGGTCATGATGGGACTGTTTAGATTTTACATGCAGCTTATTATACCAGGCCTAAGAAAAATGAAAATCATTGGCATTATAAGCAGACTGGGCAGTTTAAATACAAAATAATAAAGTATCACACGAGTACATTACATAATGTTTTTATTTATACAGGCCTACATCATTACAAAAAAAAAAAAAAACGTAAAAAAGGACATTTACTCATACATAAATACTCTAATAAACAAGGCAATTGTATAGAATAATCTGTTCGGCTTCATCCTGCTCTAAGTACTTTAAAAATAAACTCTATTTGGTGTCAGGTTCTATTATACTATCGGCAATACAAACAGAAATAACTATAAGAGAATTCAAAGTTGATGCTACTGATCAGAATCAGTAGAGCTATAGCCTAAAAATCCTGGATATTGATTCAAAATAATTTCCTCACAATAAAACTTGCCTTGTTTGCATAAAGTATATAGAATTGTTCATCTGTAATTACTCAGATGCAGCCATTTGATGAGATGTCACTGTGATCATGTGTCTCTAAACGTCACATACATCGTCCATGGATTTTAAAGCGGCAGGTGAAGTGAGTAATGGGAACACGTCCAGCGGCGCACAGGTTTGCTGACTCTCCCTATGACCGGTAGCTTGTGGGCATAAGCACGAGGTGGGTGGGTAGTAAGAGGTGGAGTTGGAGTAAAGCTCGTCTGGAAGCGCCGTCCCTGACAGCGTCGCCCCATCTGCCGCCCGCCAATGATGAAAGAGAAAGCAGGAGGTCCAGCCTGAGGCAGCGGGAAGCGGGCTTTAGGGAAAATGTCTCGGGATTGGCTGGTTGAACGACCAGGACGTGACGAAGATGACCTGGAACGTGAGACGGAAGATGAGGAGGAGGAGGAGGAGGAGCGTGCAAGAGATCTGCAGACACGGGACAAAAAGAGACCACCAGTGAGAAATGCACGCAACACAAAACAACAAAATGTGATCATCATAATATGAACCGAGTTTTGCTACACATTTTGGACTTGCTAATGCAGGGTTTCTACAGACATGAACAAGTTAAATTTAAGACCTTTTTAAGACCTTTTTAATACCACCTTATATGAAATTGAATACTGCAATTTGAATAATTTAAATAATAAAAAGATACTTTAAATGTGAAATTAAAACCGCCAGTAGGTGGCAGCAAGTCACTGTTAATAAATGAGTCATTGCGATTGAACCGAATCAAGACAGTTGATTCATTTAGAAACAGTTGATTCATTCAGGAATGAAACACCATCATGTTGCTCAGAGATGCAAAACAGCGCTGTGTGGCTGTGTTTGGAATTATTTTTGTTGCCGAAATAATGCAAAAACAGGCAATATGGTGTCTAAAACGTAAGTCTCTTAATTAACATCGTTTATTGAACTGTTGTAATAAAAAAAATAAAAAAATCAATGTCACATTTGTAATCATGGTAATTTTTGGAGAAAAAAACGACACTCTTCATGTGAAATTGATTAACTATATGAAGTGGTATAAATATATACATTTTCTGCCCCTATGTCTTGAATTTTGTGATCATTGTAAATGTATTTTAATAGACTGAATCATGCAGTGAAAGAACACTCTAAATGCGCACGCACTAGTCTAGACGTCACGTAATGCGTGCACTCTGTGGGTGTTTTGAATGCTTTTTGCGCCGTGAGAATATTCAGCAAAATAGCTCACTTGTCATGGTATGTTACTTAAACAGTCATTAGGTCCGTCAGACTTTAGATATTTTAGCGTTAATGTGACCAAAAATACTTAAGACCCATCGAATCTGAATTTAAGACATTTTAAGACTTTTTAAGGCCTTTTATTAGGAAAACGTTATTTAAGACATTTTAAGACTTTTTAAGGACCCGCGGACACCCTGTAATGTATGATTGGGTCCGTATCATTTAAGGCAGGGCTTAAGTATTTTTCCCATTCATTTTCATCATAGGGATTTTTAAAAAGTCTTTGTTGAAGCCATGTTCTAACCAGTTACGAGGTGAATCACAATATTACATTATTTGTATTTGAAAATTGGACAAAAAGACAAAGATACAAGATTAAATGGATTGAATAGTAGAAAAAAAACAATCCCAAGAAACACTGCGAACGGCAATCAAAAAGAAAACAATAGAAGATTTGAAATTTAAAGATACATGTAAACAATATATTTGACATTTATTGCAATATATAAACACACACACAAATATTGAAGCAGCCTGAGAGTGTAAAGAGAATGACTTATGTCATCTTTTGGCGCAATTTGCTTGTCACAAATCAGAGATTCCTTTGGAGGATCATGGGTAATTCACCAGGAATTCCACCATTAAACAATTATTTTAAAAATAAGCTAAATAATGCTGGCTTTAACAAATGCATCCACCATCTATTAACAACCTAGTAGCTCACACTCACAGTAGGTCTGTATTTGAAGGTTATCATTAACAATTAGTGATCGACCGATATTGATATTTTATAACCGATACCGATATCAATTATTTGCATGTTTATGTGCCCGATAACCGATATGCAGAACCGATATTTATTTACTGTTATAAAGTAAATAAATGACTGAGTGAAGTAAGAACATACTTCACTTTGGTTTCTCCTCCTTTCAGTCATCTTAAAAAAAAGTGTTGAAAATTAGCAGTCTTTCATGTTAAATTTAATCTTCACATTACAACAATAAAAAAACATTTTATTTAAAGCATCAGCAGCAACACTAATATTAACAATAAGCAAAATAAATGTAGAAGGTCTAATGTTTTCAAATGGAGAAAATAAATAAATGAAAGGAGTTATATCAACTTCATTTTAAACTACAGTTTTAGTTGGTTTATAAGCTGTTTAATAGGCTAAAGAGTGAAGAATAATTCACTGGATAATGTTAATTCACTGAATAATATTCTCTGGAATATTGAAATATAACAAACAAAACATCGTATTTTATTGCATTTCTCAACTGGCATGTTATATCAGAATTACTAATAATGTTTTTGTCGTTCTAGATTATGAAATGCCTGCTGACAGCGCAGTTTATCTATGCATTTACACAGAGCTATATTCAAACTGCGGTTAGGGTTAGGGTTAACCCTAACCCTAACCCTTCACGAGACAAATGATGAGCATAGACATCAGACAGAGAATTAAATTTAGTGTTTTTATTTCCAACATGCGCTCATTCATGGCTGTATTATTTAATTAATGCAAAGTTACGTCTTTATTGGGAGAGGACTTGACGGATTATATTAGCCTACGTGACTGACTCTTCATGAGACGATGAGCAGCATAGACAACAGAGAGCGAATTAAATTCAGCACTTTTATATATATTTTGTTCTATTTGTGTTATTTAAGTTATTTATAATAAGTGAAGTGAAGTTTACTGTTAAGTGCACTGATGTCAGACA